AGAGCAGGCAGCACTACATCTTCCTTGACTACAAAATAGCTCCACACAGCCAGGAAATCATTCCTGACAGCTCAACCCCTGCGGCAGCCCTTCCAGCTCATTCCTCTTATTCTGTCTTCAGAGAAAGAAGTCTAAGGACTAAACGCCCAGCACAAAAAAGCCTAGCTGCTTAGCAAACATTTGTGGAATGAGTGAACTGGAATTGAACTCAAGACCTTGTAATAGGACAAGGCCTCTTCCATCTACCTGAGTTCTACCTGGGACTCTTGCAGAATTCACATCTCTTGCTTAGTATTGTTCTCACCCTTATTAACCTACTTCAGAGCTGGGGAAACCCTCACGTAAACAGAAAGCGGAGATGTTGTCACTAACTGCTGGATCCAAAAGAGAAAATTAATCCAGGATCTCAGAATGTGAATTTTGATTTCAGGAACTCTAGCGATTGGAAAGAGGGTGATCAGGAGAAGGTATTTACTCTGTTCTAAATACTGGGTGGAGACTCCCCTTTTCCAAGGCAAAGGAAGAGAAAAGTAAAGTGGTAGGGTGAAAAAAAGGAAGGACTGCCACAGCTAAGACTCCCAACGTAAAAGAATTATCAGGGCTTCAGAGCTGGCAGAAGTATCAGCAGAACCAGCTCCCAGGAAGTACAGAGGCCAAAGGAGATGGCAGAGTCAGAGATGGAGAAAAAAGGGGAAATAGTGGGACTTCCCTTCTCTGTCCATCTAACTTCAGCATACACGTCTCCCTTTTCCCTCCTTGCCAAAGGAAAAGTCCCAGCCAAGAAATAGCTGTATCTGAGACCCTAGTCATACTCCAATCCAATTCTCAAAATTTGGAAGCAACCTCCCTCCTTATCAACTAAAAAAGGAATGGGCTGGAAACTACAAAAGAATTGCAAATGAAGATTAGAGCCAAAGAGCTCTAATTAGGAAATTAGGATTACAGCTAAGGAGTTTCCCAATTTAGGCAGGTATTTAGACTAGCAGAGGTAAGAAAAAAGTAGGAGACATTCTTCCAGAGGGATCTCATAACATTTCTTGCCAACACAGTGGCACATCCTGCTCTCCCAGGCCCCCAACTCCTAACCCATCTTAAGGGGAATTCACACACAGACAAAAAAAAAAAAAGTTATTTGTGAAAGAGATTTTTTAGTCCTAGTCTAATCCCTTTCATTTAATAAATGGGAAAACTAAACCCAGAAAAATTGTAAGTGATAAAACCAGAGCCAAGCCTACCAATCTCTCCACTCTGTGGCTCTCTTTCACTTTCTTTAGTTACCAGTCCTGGTGTTTAGCCTCAACCTCATTCCTCTTGTTGCAATCCAATCCCATTTCTGCCTTACTCCCTCTCTAAAGAGATAAGAATAGGGTATACTTGTTCCATTCATAGGTTTAAAAGACAGCTATTCTCTCCCTGCCTTCTCCTCTACTCCCCCACCCCCACCTTTCCCAGGCTCCTTCTGCCCAGCCTCATTCCTCTCCTTTTCAGCCTCTGAACTGCCCCCTGCCTCCTCACTCCCCTAACCCCACAATCCTTTCCAAAATGCTTTGAGTTTGATAGAGACCAAAAAAATGATGCTTTGGCAGCAGGTGACGGATGGATGTGATCTGCCTCCTACGGGAATTCTATTTAAAGGGGCGGCCTCACAATCCTCTCCTTCCAAAGTGACAAGAGAAAAGCCTGCTCCTCAATCTCTCCAGAGCTGCAAACTCAGCTCAAGTTAACTTCTGACTTCCTCAACCTGCAACCTGGCCTGCTGCTCCTGCTTCCTATCCAGGTGGGAGGGAGAGTACTTGACAACTCATTGAGGTGTGGGGGCTGAGGGGGGATTCATCTCCTTTCATGACAGGTACTTAGGAGAGGCAGGAGGCCCTGTGGGGAGGAGGACTGGAAGAACACTCTTCCCCCAACCGCGTGAGTGCATTTCAACCATGTGCCAGCTTCTCAAAGTCAAACTTTGTTGGAAAAGAACTGATACAGACATGAGGACCTAAGGTTAAGCAAGCCTTATCCCTAGCTGGGACCTCCCTACATCCTGGATACTGGTGCTCACACCACAGTTGTTACCTTCCTGCAAGGCAAAGACTAAAGGACAAGATCCCCTTGGCCAGGCCCTGGACCTTCTGCACTTTGCAATTGCCCTCACCTGCCCATTGGATTGAACACCGTGGGGGTGGGGGTGGGGCTGTTTCTACTGTCCAAAGGAAAGGGAGCTCCTCTGCAAGCATCTTGCCCCAGGCCTAGTGGGAGGAATAATTCCATTTCATTGCAGCAAACAAGTTAATGGAGATTTTAATGAAAACACTGCACTAATGAAAATGCTGAGGCTAGAACCTACTCTCTGCCTGCAAGACAAAACAATCAGGGTCAGAATTTCTCTGTTACTCATTCCTCAGTTCCTTTTGGCCTAAAGTAAAGCAAACTGGGGGAATGATAGCAGAAAACAGTTCACAGTTGATTGTGTACCAGGTTGTAAGAGGTCAGAAACCCTCCTTGTCAAGGAAGCAAATTGCCAGAAATGCTGATGGGTTTTGTCACCTTCTCTGTCCCTTCACCTCCAGACCTTTTGTTTTAGGTGGTGAAGGCCATTATGTCTTCACCTTCTCCTATTTGCTCTTTTTAGGGTCTCTGGATTCTATTAAGGAAACCTTCCCTTACGAAGAGGCAATCTGCTCAGGTAGAAAATGATGTTCAGTCTAGGACCGAACATCAGACTTGGTTCCCAGTGCTAGTTCTGCTAAATATTTGAGCTTCATTAAGTCATTTAACATTTCTGAACCTGTTTCCTGACCTAAAATAGGAAAGCCATCCCTGGCTACCTTGCAGAATTGCTATAAGGAGGCAAAAGCACTTTGAAAAAGTATAGGTGGTAGAAGTGTGTGTACAATTATATGTTTATAAAAAGATATTATGTCAAATGACAGTTTTAGAAATGGAGAACAGATCTGTGTTGCCAGGAGTTAGGGATGGGGAAGGGTGTTGTGGGAGGGAAGTGGGTGTGGTTATAAAAGAGCAACATGAGGGATCCTTGTGGTGATGGAACTGTACTGTATCTTGACTGTGGTGGCAGATACATGAACCTACACATGTGCTAAAGCTGTGTAGAACTAAATACACAGACAAGAAATGAGTATAAGTAAAACTGAGGAAATCTGAATAAGATCTGGGGATTATATCAATGTCAATATCCTGATTGTGACAGTGTATGGTAGTGTAGTTTTGCAAGATGTTACTATTGAGGGAAACTGTAACAGTACAAAGGATCTCTCTGTATTATTTCCTACAAGTGCATGTGGACTATCTCAATGAAATGTTTTCTTTGTTTTTGTTTGTTTCGTTTTGTTTTTGACACAGAGTCTTGCTCTGTCACCCTGGTAGAGTGCAGTGTCATCATCACAGCTCACAGCAGCCTCAAATTCCTGGGCTCAAGTGATCCTCCTGCCTCAGTCTCCTGAGCAGCTGGGACCACAGTTGTATGCCATCATGCCCGGCTAATTTTTCTATTTTTATTAGAGACGGGATCTCGCTCTTGCTGAGGCTCACCTTGAACTCCTGAGCTCAAGTGATCCTCCCGCTTTGGCCTCCCAGAGTGCTAGGATTACAGGTGTGAGCCACCACACCCAGCCTAAATTTTCAATTAACACAAGTTTCTCCAGGGGGATAGGAGAGTCCTTTTTTTTTTTTTTTGGTAGAGACCAGGTAATCCTCCCTCCTCCACTGGGAGGAAGAGATTACAGGCATGAGCTCAGCCCTGCTCTTATGCAGTTCTACATGCAAATGAAAAAGGGATCTCCATCCCCTCAAGCAGAACTGAGCAGAGATATATGAGAGTATAGGGTAGTTGTTCAGATACTTCTGAGCCTTCTCTTCTTCATCAGCTTTGTAGGACTGACACCAAATCACTCCTTAGAATATAATGTCTTTCCCATAGCAAGGAAGGATAATCAGCTAATGCATGAAATAAGATTCCTCGTTGCTTCTATCCTAAAGAGCAGACAATTGTTGCTAAGAACAACTTGTATGTTGTTTATAGGTGCCAAGAAAGTATTGATTAAGCCTGAGTCTTGATAAATAAAAAGCAAACATGCACACAAAATCCAAAAACAGCTATCAAATTGGTTTAATGAAGGCTGGATGGTTTCACTGAAAGCCAACAGTTGCTTCTCTTTCGTCACAGAAGTAAGGACATGACCCTAATTAATCAACCAGCTAATTATTTTTGCCCCTTCCAACCACTATAGACCTATGACATATATGACCTGTTGCTCTAGTCCTCTATGGCAGTGGATGCACAGAAGTGATGGATGGAGGCCACTGTTTCCTGCCATGGAGTTAACTAAACCCAGTTTAGTGCCATCTTGAACGCCCCAGGCTCTGACACTTGAAATTCTAATTAGTGCAGAACAGGACCAAGTTGAAACAGCTTGTACTCCCTCAAGGATACCCACTCTTAGGGCCCTACAACCTAATGAGGTCTGTGAAATTTAAGATCTAGAAGAGAAATCCCTGCCTGGAGCAACAGCTGTACCCAGGCTGACAAGAGGATTTGGGGTTAAATTAGTGCCCCTAGATAGGAGGGGGAGTACCACCAAATGGTATGGGAGCGAAAACCCAAGAGCCTAGTCCAATTAGTTGTCATGTGACTTAGAACTGACCTACACTGACCCTCAGCTCTGGGCTGTGGAGATATCAAAGCAGGAGGAGTTAAAGCCTGACAGAACTCACTCATTACCCACGATGTGGAGTGGAGCAGGTGGGCAGTGAAAATCTCAGAAGGGCACTTCCTCTTTGCCCCTGTAGGAAAGGCAGTCAAGCTGGAGGCTAGGGAAGAGCCCCAGTGACTCCTAAAATAACCCCACAAAGGAAAAAGGGGTTCCTTTGCTGCTACTTTGTAGTATGAGCAGGCTGAATGTTTGCTGAACACATTTGGAAAAGGAAGAGAGGAGATAATGGTCCTAATGAATGTGCTGGAGACAATAGCAGCTCCAGTGGGAGGACTATAAGCTCATTATGGTTTAATATGATGATTGATCATCTCTGCCCGCCAGCGTTATCCTAGAATAGTGATGAAGGTCAGAGAGACCCATGCCTGTCAGACCGCAAGCTCTACTCACCAGAAGATAGAAAATGTACTCGTATGTCACTTGTTTTTTATTGTAAAGTTCACACATGTGGCCCCGATCCCCTAACTTTTTTCATAAACTATTTTCCATGGCCCCAGCCTGTGCCACTTTTCTGTGATTTCTCAGCCCCGATTGTTCCTGTGACTTGTCCATCAGCTCTTGCTCCTGACCCTTTCCCTAGTGACCCCACCCCATTCCCGTCCCGCCCCCCCCTTGAGAAAATGACCACAGCCTCCATTATGGTATGGGTTTAGGGAGGCCCCAAGGGCCCTTCAGTGGGTACCAGCAGGCACCCGGTTTAGATGGAAGGTCCGGGATACTTCCCGATAAGCATTTCGAAGTAGGACATAAGGGAAACAGGACTCCAGCATGTCCAGGGTCAGGAAGGATGACTCCTCCACCACCTGGAAGAGATAGGGACAAGAGGTGAGAATCTCAGATAGGATATATGTCTGTGACACCCTGTTCCTCTTCATGTAGTTCCTGGGCCCTCTGAGCCCTTAGAGTCACAGTGAACAGCATTCCAAATCATGCTCTCCCCCTTCCTCCCTCACTCGGTTTGGCTCCAGGAAGGTAAAGGGGCCTTTTCAGCCTCCTTGTAGTGGCCCCTGTCTCCCTCATCAGGGCCACATGAAGGGCACAAAAGCAGAAGGCAGGAAAGAACCACTTCCCTAGCAGCAGAGAAACCCATTCCCTACCATTCTGTGTGCTAAATCCTATGTGGGTGGGAAGCACAGATGCAGGTAAAGATGGATAAAAGTGCTAATTACAAAGCTTTACAGTGAGAGAAACAATTGCCACCACAGGCCAAGGAAGAAGGGCCTGGAATCCACATCGATCCTCTTGTGTTGGGCCTCAGTCTCCTCCCTCTCTCAGTACAGTGCTCGGGGAACAGTAAGGATGCTGCATAATGGAGCAGGCATGATTAATTAGTTTAATTAGAAGCCTGCATGCTGCAGTAATCCCAGCAGCCCCCACAGCCAAGCAGGAAGACAGATCAAGATGCCTGGGTAAGGGTGGGGGTGGGCAGAGGGGCATATTCGTGAAGAACAGCACGAACATGAATGCAAGAACAAGTGTTGGGCTGGAGGGTCCCCATCCCTGAGGAAGGAGCAGGGTGTATTTCCTTTAGTACCCCCTAATCCCAAACTAAAAGCACACCCTGGAGAGGAGTGTCCCATATCCTATGGCAATTCACACAGATAGGCCCTCCCCAGTGTGTCTGGCATTTCAAGTCCTGAAAATGCACTAAGGAAAGCGAATCTCCCATATCTATTCTAACATGATTCTCTCTCTGAAGTCCTTTCAAGTTTTAAAATTTGTGAGATTTGGCAAACACACGCACACACAACAGCTGCAACAGAATAGAAACTTCAGGCAGAAGGAAAGGAAATCTGCTGGTAAAACTAACCCTGATCTTAGGTTAGACAACAGAAAGAATTCCTCCCTGGGCAAGACTTTCAAACTCTAGGCCAGGAGAGAGATGAGATCTCTCTAGGATACTACCCTCAGGTGCAGGGAAATGAGTAATGACCAAGTGAATTCACTGGCCCAAGACTTTCTATTCCCCAGGAAGTACAGGAAAATAACAGGACTCCCAGCTGGCTAACATTTATGGGAGTGGAAACAGCTCTAAAGTGAAAGCCAAGAAACCTGGGTTCTAGATCCAATCTGCCATATGTTTTAGGGGAGACTTTGACTGTCATCTTTCCCTCTTCCTCGGTCTCCTCACCTATGACTTGTAAGTACTGGACCAATTGCCAGGGTCTGGTCTGGTTCTGACACTAGGATTCCATGATTCTATGAGAGAGCCACCTCCTTCCCCTAGGAAACCCATGCCAGGAACAGGCTGCCAACACTGGGCGTGGGCACTGCTCAAGTTTGACAGCCAAGCCAGAAAGACCCCAGGGAGAGAAGTGCTGGCCAGAATTTGAGGCTACAAGAGTAACCTCTTAACTCAGAATACATCTCCTTCCCCTTCAGTCATTTCCAATTTCTCTGTGGAAACATTTGCATTTAAATTGCTTTGCAGCAGCTAGTCCCTCTAGTTTCCCCCTCCAGCAAAAAGTGCCTGGTCCTAGCTCTGCTCCTGCCACTCTGCCAGTCTCATGGGGAGGCCACAGGGGCAGACACTTTTCTACACTTGAGGGTGGGGTGGATGGGGGTATCAAAGCAGAAGAGGGAGGGGGGCTTGGGGGCATTAGTGAATCACCTCCAATCTTACAGAGGTGAAAACTGCCTGAGGAAATGAAGAGCCATGATGAAATCATCCAGAAACTAAAATGAGCAGCAGAGAGAAGCAGCTTATATTTGTTGAGCAGCTATTATGTACTGGGCACCTTCACACATATTATATCTCATTAATTCAAACCATTCTCTCTTAAGGGTTATTACCCACTTTTGTGGATAAAGAACCAGAGTCCCAGAAAGTTAACTGCCTTGCTAAGCTCATGCTGCTCCACAAAATGTGCCCACCCACCCACTAGTAGCGTTTGCCCTCCCTCTGTCCTGTCTGCCTCCTCCTCCCTCTCACCCCTCACCACAACCACATGCCCATGTCCATTCTCTTTCTCCATCATCATCCTGAATCAGCCCTGAAACAGCTAGGCCTTTTTCTAGCTGGAGAAACTGAGACATAAATACCACTCAGTGCCCATGTACTCAAAGGAGACCAGGAGGGAATCCCAGGAATGCCTTCACCTAACATATCTGGGCCTGGGTCAAGTGTACAAATGGAGATGCAGATAGCATATGACTAATTAAACCAAACCAACAATTATATTCTATCTTGCAATCTTCAGAATGTATCTTTGTAATTTTATAGAAGTCTAAGTTTGAATTAAGAATTCTCGGACTCCTCAGAGTTCCGCACTAGAACAGGGTGAAGGGAAGAAACAAGCTTCCAGCCCAGTCTATCCTCTCTTCCCACCCCCAGTTGGAGGGGCTTTGTGTACACATGTGGACCTCCCGAGCCGTACATCTAGACTCCAGCCATACATTGCCGGGGCACTAGAGGCACATCCACCAGGAGCAAAGTCTGCCTCGGTAGGATGGATTGGGGAAGAAGTTCCACATTGGCCCCACGAGCGGGCTGGAGCTGCTTAGAATTTTGGGGTCCCAGACATCTTTAGTGTGGGCGTAGAGGTGAGGCACAGGCTCCAGATAGGCATATCCTCTCCCCATAGGCCAGAGGAAGCCAAAGGAGGGCCTTTTAAACATGCAACCCAGGCCGGTGCCCTCCTGTCCATACTTACGTACAGTACTAAGCCGGAGAATAAGACATTTAGAGGAGAAGAGTAAGTGTGTTGAAGAGGAAAACAGGGTCATGAGAAAAAAAATGTATTTAAGTTAACTGAGTCAGAGTTCCCAGAACTTTCTGCCAGAGTAAAGGAAAGCCCACAGCTTGGGAAGCAAGGAGAAAAGATAGCAGGTGCTGCCTGATTCATAGCCCGCTGGGCTCCCAGCCTTATAGCTCTTCAGCAAAAATCCCTTCTCTCCTCTGAGCCCCGAGCCTCAATCCCCTGAATTCAGTTCTGTGCTATCCAGCACCCTTGTCATAGTATCCTTAGCGACAAGAAATACAGCATAGGAAGTTGGCAAGTGAAACCAAACATGTACTGAACAGGTAATTGCAGATAAGGGACATAGCTGCCCCTCCAGGCCAGACTCAGAAACATTGCAGGAAAAGGGCATGGCCAGCTGGGGGCCAGGAAGGCCCTATCCTGCAGAGAAGGCCCTGAAGACTCTACTCTGGGGTTGCAGGACAAGTTTAGAATGCTAACCAGGATATGAGGACTAGACCCAGAGGGCCAGGCAGAATTAAGTTCTTAGGTAATGCTTTTGGGTGACGATGGCAGAGACCCAAAGACCCTAAAGAGGAGTCTCCATCTGGTCTTTCCTCTCTCTTTTCTCAGACTGGCTTAAACAAGATACATACCAAGCGCATGAGCAGAGAAATGGATTCCCGATTTCTGGTTTTAAGCTTGTCTGTCTCCTGGCCCAGCTGCAAAAGGCTGACAGAGGCCACCTGTAAGGGAAGAATTTGTAAAGCGGATTTTTATGGAGGTCAGAAAAGGACAGCCTCAGGCCACAGGAAGTTAATAAAAGATCAAGGAGGAGAGTTGAGAAGTGCCAGGATGTTCCTGAAGACTCAGGGTGGAAGAGTGGCAAATCCCCCAGGTTTCAGAGACACGCATTGCCTGCAAACCAGCCTGGAGCCCGGTGGCCTGCCAATGCAGACAACGGGAGGTGCTGGGGGAGAGGCTGCAAGGAGCAAGGAAAGAACCGAGAGCAAAGGCAGGTGATGCTGTATGCCAGGAGATTCATCTCTCTTTTCTAGGCAGCCTCCAGACACCACTGTCATCAGGCTGTTTACAGCTGATTCCCCACCCGGCTCGAGACAGAGCTGGGCCTCTGATTCAGACACAGAGCTCCTGGTGTTCTCCTCCTGTTAACTCCCAAACGGCTGTCATCTCCATTCACCTCCAGCCCCCCAACAAATCAAAGAGGGAGGAAGAAACATGATTCATTGTATCCCAGGCCCAGGTTACCTGCATTTAGCAAATAAAGAGGATAAAAGGGGAAAGATGGGAAAAATATTCCCATCTCACCCCACCTTAGAGATCTGGAGTGAATCTTCTTTATATCGAAGATGCTCAGAGCCAGGTCTATCTGGTTGGTTGTACCAGCTTAAACAGAGACCCTCTAACTAAGCTCATAGTCCCTGATACGTACTTCTCAGGATGAGGGTATAATTCCTAAGAAAACAGTATGATCTGCTGTGTTTCCTCCTGGAAAGAGACAAATGAGTCCCCAGTTCTTAACTTGGGACCATGCTTTGCAAAGAAATACGCTCCCTATTACTGAGAATGCTCAAGGAGGCAGTGGGCAATGGACCACGTATCAGAAGTATATGAACAGGATTACTCCATGGGAGATTTAGAATGGAAAATTCTAGGGCCTCTTTCACCTATGGAAACAGTTCATTCTGAGATCAACGGCGATAGTTACACAGAGTCAAAATTTGGCTAAAAATTTTTTGAACAATTTTTTCAAACAAATTGGACATATTAATAACTTACAGTGGAATCAGCCACCTGCTTGTAAGCTCCAGTCTCTAGAAATCGAGACCAGTGGCTCTCAAAGTGAGATCCCCAAACAAAACAGCATCAAGATTATCTGAGAACTTGTTGGAAATGCAAATTATTCAGCCCCACCCTAGTCTACATCAGAAATTTCAGGTGATTCTGATCTACACTGAAGTTTAAGAACTAGTCATCGACTATTTGTCAGTACAGAGTTAGAAGAGGCCTTATGATTATGAAACTAGGCTGGGCATGGTGGCACATGCTTGTAATCCCAGCATTTGGGGAGGCCAAGGCAGGAGAATTGCTTGAGGCCAGGAATTCAAGTCCAACCTAGGCAACATAGCAGAAACATGGTCTCTACAAAAAAAAAAAAAAAAAAAATTAACTGGGCATGGTGGTGTGCACCTGTAGTCCCAGCTACTTGGGAGGCTGAGGCAGAAGAATCACCTGAGCCCAGGAGTTTGAGGCTGCAGTGAGCTATGATCACACCACTGGACTCCAGCCTGGGCGACAGAGAGAGAGACTGTCTTTTTCTTTCTTTTTTTTTTTTTTTATATTTGAGTTAGGGTCTCAAGATACTGTCTATTAAAAAAAAAAGATTATAAAACTCAGTGTCTCTCTAACTTTAATATGCATCTGATCTCCTGGAGACCTTATTAAGAACACAGAGGCCGGGACTCACCCTATGACATTCTAATTCGGTAGGTCTGGTGTAAAGATCAGGAATCTGTATGTTTTTTTTTTTTTTTAGAGACGGGGTCTCGCTATGTTGCCCAGGCTGGAGTGCAGTGGCTATTCACAGGCGCGATCCCACTACTGATCAGCACGGGAGTTTTGACCTGCTCCGTTTCCGACCTGGGCCGGTTCACCCTCTTAGGCAACCTGGTGGTCCCCCGCTCCCGGGAGGTACACCATAATTGGGCCGAACTTAGTGCGGACACGCCGAATCGGCCATAGCGCACACACCCACGAACTCCTGGCCAAGCGATCCTCCCATCTCAGCCTCCCCGAGTAGCTGGGACTACAGGCGCGCGCCACCCGCGTCCGGCTAGGAATCTGTATTTTAATGAGCTCCCCAGGACATTCTGCCATACACCAAGGTGCATGGATTCAGTTTAATTTGAATTCATGGATTCAGTTTAATCTCTATATTTTATAAATGAGAAAACTGAGGCCCAAGAAGTCTGTCTTTTCAGAAGTCGAACAACTTCTTTGTGGCAGATCCTCAACTAGAACCCAGATTTTCTGACTCGTTGTCCAGTGATCTTTCCAAGTATTCAGCTGTTAGGGAATTTAGGAAAAATTCCTGCCTTTCGAAGAGTAGCCTCTCACTACTGACAGAATTAGGTGGGAGGTTAGACTCAAAAGCCTCTTCCACAATAACTGTCTACAGATTTAAGTCAAACCAATCCCAGCCCTTTGCAATCTTCCATTCCTTATAACCTAGACCCACTCACCACTAGAAATTCCTTTAGGTGAGTTTCAATGTTCTTGTTGTAGAGAGTGAAGAGGGCAGCAGACACTTGGATGATGGCTTTGGTCAAGCAATGAATATTGTTGTTGTATCCTGGGTTATTGATATCGAGGAGAGAAAAAAAGAAAATGACAAAGTGAGACACCCCAAACTGACCCCAATTTGCAATTTCTCACTTTTTTAGGCTGGGCCACCCCTATTTGACACCAAAAGGATAAGAAGGCATTTGGGGATTAGGGGAAGGATATTCCTATGAAATTTTACTTGAACAGAATTTTATGCATAGTTCATTCTCAAGTGCTTTTGAACTAGAACGTCACACCTGAGCCAAAAGTCTGTAATTTCCAAAAAGTGTCTCTGTCTCCTCACCCCACCCCAGGACACTAACCTGAATAGCATTGGCCTCTCAAACCTCCTTACTTACCATCCTTCTCGATACTATAGAAGGAAGAAGGGTCAGTGGCAAGGAGTGGGAGGGAAACGGCAAGAAAGATCAAGAGCAGGCAGGCCACCTTATATTCTTCCTCAGGGGACGAAGTATCTGACGAGAGGGAAATAGAAAAAGAGGCAAAGTAAATAAGGCCAGCAAACAGGAGTTATCATCTGTAGGGATCCTACGTCACAGAACTGCCATGAGGATCACATGAGAAAATATCCATGAAAACGCTTTATAAAGCACCACAGGTAAATTTTACTGCTGAAGAGGACAAGCTAGCATCCGCCTAGAGTGAGGAGCCCGAGTCCTGGAGGCCTCCCCTGGTAGCAGGGAGAACTCTCAGCCAAGGGCTCTGCTGATATGCAGTCAAGGGCACCTGTCAGCTGCTTGATGGGGCAGAGGGACAGGAGGGAGAGGAAGGATTCTCACAGGCCAGGAGAGAAGCGGGGTGAGTCTGGCAATCTGGAAGGACTTAATCCCAGCTCCTTGGTTCCATCCAATTCTGAGTGTGTACAAGTGTGACTGTGCTAATCAGAGAAACGTGTAATGGAAAATATAAGAGACAAGCGTGAGACTGGGGAAGAAATGAATAGTGCCAAGGTGACTACATGGGGGGAGAGAGCACAAGATCACTATGGGCCACTTAGATGTTAAGATACTACACCACACAACTTAGTGTGAAATCGTATACTATTTTGTATTGTTCTCTCATTTCATTTGCATTAAGTCTCTCACTTAATACTTTTTAGTTGATTGGTAGATCAACTAATTGGAACCTGAGATGGAACCTAAACTGCTTATGTAAGTATTTTCTGGAGGTTATGGTTGTCCTTAGTTCCCAGTTTATATCCTCTGAATTCACAATCGCAAATAAAGGCTTCTTTGGCATTGATGTTTTCCCACCCAAAAACAGGGCCCAGGCCCTCCCTTGTCCCCTTCCCCCAATCTTACCAGCTTTCAGATTGGCAATGGCCGCCACCAGGGCTGGGTCAATGTCACAGCCCACCCCTGCAGCAGATGCCAGCTCAAAAACACTCAGGGTCACCTAGCAGAGAAGAAAACACATTCTGGAGAGGATTCCCAGGGGAGCAGTGCTTGGCGGAAGCTACAAGATTCTTGGATCAGGAATTCCTGGATCACAGATTTTTAAACTTTTGGTGTACTATTTTTTCTAGGTATTCCTTTCATAGCTCTCCACAACCTACAGGGAAAAAGCCCAAATGCTTTTAGCTTGGCATTCAGGATACTCCATAGTACAAATTTATTTTTTCAGTCAATGCTTCCTTCAGTCAGTGCAGCCAGGTTAATTTGTTCACTGCCTGCAAACTACAACTTCCTTTCTTTGTTCCATCCTCTAGTTCAGGTCCCTTCCTCTCCTCTACTTATATTTAAGTAACGCCCATCCCTCAAGGTTTAACTCAAATCTCATCTTCTCTATGGAGCCCTCCCTGCAGCCCAAATCCATCTCTCTCTCCTTAAATCGGTACCACTGAGTTAGCATTGATCACACACAGCACCTGGTATTAGTTATTTTTCAGATACAAGGTAAGACTCACCTCCTTATTCCACCAAATAGATAATTTTTTAAAACCTCATGACATAGTGAAGGGAGAAAAAAGCTTTGAAGTAAGACAGATATAGGTTCAAATCCTAGCAGCACCACTTACCAGTGTGTGATTTTGGCTAAAAGTTACTTAACCTCTTTGAGCCCGTTTTCTCATCTGTAAAACTGGGATAATAATACTTACCTCATGTAGTCGTTGTGAAGATTAAGTAGACCACATGTGTAAAGCATCTACCCTAGTGGCTAACAGAGTAAATGTTATGCCTTTCCTTCCTCTTCCTTTATCTTTTTTTTCTCTTTATTGGCATATTATGGAGGTACAGATTTTAAGGTTTCAATAAATGCCCATTTCCCCCCTCCCCCACAAGTCTGAGTCTCATCATGACCATCCCCCAGAGATATGCACATCTCACTAATGTATGTATATACCGCCCCTCCCCTTCCCCCCTGCCCAATACCCTATTACTGTAGCACCTATGTGACCACTTAGGTGCTGTTCAGTTAATACCAGTTTGCTGGTGCCTTCCTCTTCCTTTATCTTAAGGCCAGAAACTTTGCATTTCTCTCGATCCTCTCTAGTGTTTAACACAATGCTGAGCACATAGAAGACATTCAGTAAATATTGATTGATTGACACCTGAATCCCTCATTGTAATTAGAATCTAGTTCCCAGGACATAGCCTCAAACCTCCACTCCCACACCAAGTACTTAGACCTCTTTTGAGGTTAAAAAAAAAACTTAAAAATGTTCTGAGATTCAGTTCTGTGATGTTCCATGAAAGAAAAGAAGAAAAATTAAAAAAAATAAAAATAAAAAAAAAAATGTTCTGAGAGAACAAGGATTATTGTTTCAATACTAAACAACTAAGTAGAGGGAAAGATTCTTATGCAAAGACTCCCACAGACATAACAACATACACACAGTTTGCCTATGGTACCGACACAGAAGCCAAACCTTTGCCAACTTCTGCTCTGCCCTTTATTTAAATCCCCTGCTACCTAGATGACACTGTTTGTGGCAACCATGGCCTAGGAGATAAGGGACCTGGTCCCCGACCTGTGGTTTCTGGAGGAAGAGAGGGAGGATTGAAGGGGTCTTATTTTCTCTTCTCCTAACCATCTCACCCCTCTGAGGCAGTAACAGCTTCTCTGATGGACAGGCCATCCTCCCCCTCCGCCCCTACCTGCTTATTTTCACAGCCAAACAGAGCCTAAAGAGCAGAGCTGCCCAGAAGATATCAGCGAGACAAGCTCCTGACAGGCTAGAGCATTGGGCCCAACATCAGCAGCTGCCAGAAACCCAGGCTCCGCAGCGAAACATCACCCCCTCGCCGCCTCCAAGGCCACTTGACTCTCGTAAGATTTTAGGCAGATACAGGAGGAAATTTCATAACTCTTGATCTCAATGTAAGGATGTTTTCCTTAACATCTAACTTTACTTCTTCCTCCTAGCCAGTATCCTCTTATCATAGACCTCTCTCCACTAAAGAAATCAATTATAGGACAAGTAGCCTCCCCTAGGTGTTGGAAGGCCTTTGTTCCCAGGCGTTGGCTGTATTTTCTTCACAACACTTGTTAGTTTCAGATGATTCAAAACACAAGATGATTCGAAGGAGGGGGACAGTTGGGGAGTAGATGTTTAGCTTAGGCTGTCTGCAAAGGCTCTCTTCTGGCTCTCCATCTCCTGCAGCAAATGGTAGCCCAAGGCAGGTGATGCAGACACAGAGAAACCAGAAAGTTTAAAATGCCAGGAAAAGAAAGGACACCCTGAGGGCAGGCATGGTGGGTGGGAACAGAAGCAACAAACCCTCATACAAAAAGTACCTAAGCTCCAGACTAAAGAGGGGACTTGTTTGCACATAGTTTGGCATATAATTTGCACAGTGCTCATTTCCAGTGAAAACCTGCAGATACTTCTTACCCCTCTCCTTCTAGTAATGTTCCCCTAAGCCCCATGGGGTCTCCCAAGCTCCCACTTCCCTCCATCCCCCCCATGTCTCCCCAGCTCTGCTCACTCTCTCTTTCCAAGAAGAACCTTCGACCAGGCTTCCCATTCAAACCCTGGCTGTTATCACTATGGTATTCTTCAGAGTCATCCTTCCCTTACAAGATCTAGCTACACCCTTTGTCAACAACAAAAATCTCTTAGATTCCACTTTGATTCCTCCATACCTTGATATCTGTGTCTGGAGTGACAAACTCCTTCAAGCACTCAATGGGACCCATAAGAAATGGGCAGTGGGAGGAGAAAACCTGGAGGAAAGAGAAGATAAGTGAGTCCACAGGGTAGTGACCAACCAGTGCTTTCAAAAATAGGCGGAAACAAACAAAAAAGAGCTTGACCTAGATGAGACCCTAGCCAGCTTTCCAAGCCGTCTCTCTCCTTATGCCTCTAGGTTTCCTAAACTCACCTACCCCTGTGGATCTTGAAGACCTCTCCAAATTAAGCTGCTTCTTCTCAATGCTCACCAACCCCTTCCACAACTTCTCATAGGAACCCTACCCACAGAGGTGTCTGTGATTCCGTGACAGCCTCGCTCCTCCCCAGCTCACCTCCCGAAGTCCTTCTTGTGCCATGGCCCTAAAACTCAGGATAACTCCAATGATGGTCATGCGCTTCAGCACATTTTCCGCCCCTGAGGAGAAAGAAGGGTGTTAGAGACAAGAGCTTAGGAGAGGAGCAATGGTTTTGCTTCTTCAGACCCAGCTTAGCCCCCAGATCCCTGAAAACCTCTGTCATTCACAACGCTATTCCCACAGTTCCTTCTCACTGTGCAGAAGGTACTCACCCATCAGCTGGGGCAGCAGAGAAGCCATCACGTCCGGCTTGCTAAAGTTGGATCTGATCTGAACAAGTGTGTCCATGTTTTCCACCACCAGCTTCTGCAGCCCAGGAACACAGAAACATCAAGCAGGAAAAGAAGACTTCTTTCCCCAGTCTTCTACACCTACCCCTTTCTCCCAAGGCGGGGCCTTTCTCCCAGGGCTTGTATCCACAGTACCTTCAGCTCCACAATCTGAGAGGTCACATGCCACATCAGGTTTTCACTCAGGAACTTCATGCCATAGGGGCCCAGGACTTCAGCCAAGGCTCGCATCTCTGGAACAGAGTTACAGAGGTCCTAGGTGGGACTCAGAAGGCACGCGGCATTTACACAGCAGATATAGGGTCATTGAACATTTTTTTTTAATTTCAGCATATTATGGGGGTGGAGTCATTGAACATTTAAAATGTTTTCCAGAAATGAAAGGAAACAGGAAGTCAAGGAGCAAAAATGGCCTGAAATCCTACATTCAGGTGACAGGTCCGGCCTGCCCATGGGACATTCACCCTCTCCCCATTGGTACTCATACCAAGACTTAGTACAAATAACTATTTACTTTACTCTCTTATAAGAATCTATACTTTCCCAGGTCCCTTTACATGGTAACTGGGTTTTACTCTGGCTGTACTGGCTATTTTAGTATAGTACTGGCTGTACTATTTTATTAGACATAAGACCTTAAACAAGTCATTGAACCTCTCTGAGCTTTAGTTTACATTTCTGTAGAATGAAGAAATTAATATCTGCCATGAATACTTCACAGAGTTGATGTGAGAGTAAATAAGATACATATAAAAATCTTAGAAAATTATAAAGGTATATATAAGGGATTATTGTGATGATAATTATTAACAGGTGAGGTATGTGGCATAGGTACTGTCATTGTGGTTTTACAGATAAGGGGCTAAGTGCTTGTCCAAGGTCACTTAACCACATCTGGGGCTGGTACCAGAAACCTAGTGCAATGCCTTACTACCCCCTTACTGTGTCCCAGAAGATACAACTACTTCGTTACCTAATGTCTGGCTTTTTGCACATTTCTCCCTTCACTTCCCTTACTTAGTACTGCACTGTCCAAATTTCCCTTTCCTTGAGCCACCTTTTCTTTTTTCATAATCAACCACACATCCCAGAGTCCCAAGTCTTTTTTCCTCTAAATCCTTCTCCCCTTTCATCTGCCCCCACTGCCTTATCCCTCACTCCCCAGCCTGCTCTGGTCCTCTGTAAATTAAATAAAACATGCCTAGGGAAATCCCATGTTGGAAACACTAGTGACAAATTCACACAGCAAAGAACTCTATCCCTGATCTTTGGCTATTGGCCATCCCAGCAGGGAAAACCATGAAAGACCAGAAGTAACAACAAGAGATCAGTAGAAGAAAGGCAAGTGTAATGTTGTTAATAAGAGTTCAGAGAGAAAAGGAAGTCAAGGCTTTATGCTCAGGTCTTTGAAGGCAGGACCAGTTGATCTCCACCTCCACCAGTGACAGAGGAAGTAGAACTGGTCACAGCAGCTGAAACAGAGCCTTGTCCAGAGCAGATATTAGACATTTTTAGAGTCACCTATTGACAATAGGAAGAACTGAGCTGAGAACTATAAAAGGATTTCCAAACTGGTCAATTTAGATTATGCTGAAATGGCCGACACAGGGGAAGAGGGGCTGAATCGCCTACTCTGGAGCTGGTAGAGAGGAGATACACTGATCACCAATTTAGATCTGCCAGACCTCCTTGCTCCAGTCTTTTCTACCCCTGGCTAGTAACCCTAGGGCATCTTTCTCTTTCCATCTATCTATTTTTGTAGTAGCATTGCCCCATCACCATGGCAACCCACAGAAATTGGGGTGGGGGTGGTAGAAGGGGGAATGAGCATTACCTCCTGCTGCTTGTCATTTGTCAGCAAGACCTAAAGCTGATTTTAGAGGCTGCCTACAGTTTGTGGGTAGAACTGATGAGAAGGGGACATCTGAAACCTCCAGTGGGGAAGAAGCAGGGTCAGCTTACTGATGGGGGTGGGATGCTGGTAAGGAGGCATAACTAGAAAACAGAACTATGTATTCTGGCTTTCTTGACACCCCCAAAGAAGGGGAAGACTGGAGAGGCCAGGGTCACTGGAATATCTTCTGCCTGTCCCAGATACCATGCAGCATTCATGATTTATATGGAGGTGAGAGGAGGGAGGAAGAAGCAGGGTAGTTTATGAATTGTCAGTAGGTAAAACAAGTATATTTAAAAAGATCTGTATGGTTTCAAGCCTTCCTTAAAAAGGGAATGAATGGCTTCCTAACTCATTCGGTACACACTCCTTACCCACTCTGCCTCGAGACACAAAAGCACTTCTGTATACTGGAGAGCAGCACTGCACGGTAGTTAAGCACCCAGCTGCTGAAATGCGACGGCCTTAAGCTGAACTCCCACCCCTACCATTTATGAATGTGTGGCCTTAAGCAAGCTCCTGAAACTCTCTGTGTCTCAGTGTCCTCATCTGAAAAATGGGGATAAGAGTATCTACCTCAAGGCTGTTGTGAGGATTCCATGAGTTAGTATGTGTAAACATTTATTATAACTTAGCCCACAATGAATGTCATTTGTCATCTTATCATCGTTATTATTAAACATCAGCAATCCAAACATTGGCCAAGGCTCTAAAATTTATGTCTAAGGAAGAAGATGCTATGACATCAGACCGCGGTTAAATAATTCCAAGCATGAGAATGTTCTCCTTACACTTCATCCTCTACCCTTTACACTATATCCTACTCTTTCATTCTTTGTGGAAATGGAGAATAACCATTTACCACGCTTCAAAGAATAAATTCCTTCAGCAAGTCGAGTGCCCCTGCCTAACTCCTAAACTCCCATTTTCCCATTTTCACTCTTCACATTCAACTCCCAGGCCACTCCTCAACCCTAGGCCTCACTGAGAATCTCTTTTTATTGTCCTGAAGGTGAGCTAGCAGAGACGCTGAGAAGAGTGTAGAAAGGGCCTCTGGGAAGGGAGGAGAATTCCCACCAGATCTACAGAATTCCCACCGGCCTACAGAATACCCTGTAGGCCGAGGTATTGCATTGAGGGGGAAAGCCCAGCTCCCTGACAAGGAGACCAGGCCCCGGGCTCACCAGAGATGTCAGAGAACTCCTCTGCACTGAAGTTCTGCTCTCCCTCTCGGGGGAGGCTGATGAAGGCCTGCATGGCTGGGGAGAGGATGATGGTCCCACCGCTCGCCTGTCTGAGCAGACTTTCCAGATACCTACAGGGTTGGCCAAGAAAGCACAGATGACTAGTGTCCAATCCCTTCTCCCTACTAGGCCCACTGGGCTCAGAAAGAGAAACTCTGCTAAAGTCTGGGGCTGGGTGAAGAGACTCAAAGAAGACAGGACAATGCTCTGATTAACACTCCACACTGTTGGGTCAGAAACACTGGCAGTAATATAATTCCACTTCGCCTCTAAGCTGCAGAGTATTTTGCTATGCCGTCCATTGCAATGGCATGCACACCCTTTTGTCAGCCCCTGTGCTTTTCAAATAGTTGTACTCCCCTCGCACTTACCTTCACAGGCTCAACCTGGCAAGAAAAACATTCCTACTAATTGGGCTCCTCTGAAATATATTTAGCCTCAGTCCCTCCAAGGAGAATGTTGGACTGACCACCTATGATCCTGGAAGCCAGTTTAAGCCAAACCTCCTGGGCAGAGAGACACCCCTTGGGAGTCTGGTCATCTAGTCCATAACATTCCCTCCTGACCGCTGGGCAAGCTTGGAGGGGCTGGGCTCCAGCCAGTGTTGGCAGAGGAAGGTGTGACCGACCAGTCCCTGCCACTCCCAGGCACTAGCTCTGGGTTTAGGTCTGTATCTTTTTTTTTTTTATATCTCATATTCTGTGGGTACAAATATTATTAGGGTTACATATCTTGCCCCTGCCCCCCCTCCCCACCCGGCTATGCCAGAGCTTCAAGCATGCCCAGCCTCCAGGTGGTGCACACTGCACCCACCATGTAAGTGCGCACCCTTCCCCTCCTCCCCCTTCCACCTGTCCACCTCCCAATAACAGATTTTTTTTTTTTTGACATTTTGGTTACAGGGTGTATCTTTGCCTCTCCCTAAAAAGGGATAGAGGTAATCCCTTCCCCCACACACACACAATGCTCACCACATCCTTAAGATGTGGGTCTCTCCCACCCCCAAATCCCTGTTGAACACTACCATTTTTTGAGCACCATAGTTTTAGTCTGTCAGTACCAATTTGATGTCAAGTAGATGTGTAGCCCATTTTCCAGGTCTAGGTCTGTATCTTACACACATCACAAGATAGCTACCACTGGGCCAGACCCACCTGTCAAACGGGGGTAGGTTTTTTTCCTTTTAATATAATGTTAAATGGCTAACACAGGGGAAGAGAGGCTGAACTCTGGAACTCAAGGATAATTAGTTATCAAAATTTTGAAACAGAAATTTCACATAAAAACTAAGGATTTAATGGGGCAGCAATCAGGTGGAGCCCCTTTAGAGGGGCTCTCCCTCTCCAACTCCTCAAAGTCCCCACTTAGCCCACTACATCCATTACTTTACCTGCCTGCCCCCTGGTGGCCTTCGTATTTTTGTTCCTGAGTAAGGGGGAACAAATTTTGTTCCCCCTTAGGAAGGGCTCTTTGCAGCCTGGCTCCTACTGAGCTGATTTTGGATTAAGAGCGCCACCCAGTGGCTTGGGATGGTAAGAATCCAGTTCCTTTTCATTTCTTAGAATCTCAAAGGAAACTGATTCCACCTTCTCCAGTTCCCGGGAGGAGGCCCCCTTCTCTATTAAGAACAACCTACTAGACAAGGAGATAGTGTTGTGGAAAGATGGGGGTAGGCAGAATGGTTTTCAGAGGGAGAAGCTAGGGCAAAAAGAGAAATAAGAACTTCAGAAAGAGGAAGAGAGATCATTTGAAATTGAAACAGTAAGAATCCAGAAAAGGAAGGTTAAGAACTGGAGATTAAGAGGGAAAAGGTTAAATAACTACATGGTAGGTGAATATTGCATTGACAGTTAGAAGGAAACTCCGCAGTGGACTAAAGGGGATCTGGGTTTGCCCAGGCTTTTGTTCCAATCCTCAAGCAGAAACAAGCCTCCATTTGGAGGTCTATGACCATGGGAGACAAAATGCTTGGGCCCTGAGGTCCTGCTGTGTAAAGGGAAGAGTGCTAACACGGAGGTGAGGCAGCGGGAAAGGATGAGCAGCACTGACCAGTTTGTGTAGAGAGTGGTGATAGTCTGCTCCCCACAGGAGTCCAGTGGCTGTGTCTGCTGCAAGAGGGCATTGCGGATGACTCTGGAAGCATCTGCACCCAAAAACTGGGCCAGTGACTGGATGAAACTGATGTATGCTTTGAGTCCTGCCAGCAGCTCGGAAGGCCGCACGATCTCCTGGGTCGCAGCGTTGTGGCCAGCCAGCCACACAATGGCTCTGGGTGATAAAAATCCATAATTACAATCATCATGATGAACATGGTAACAATTACTGAGTGTATATAGTGTTCCAGGTGCTGTGCTATGATTTCACTACACATATCTCATTTAAACCTCATAATGACCCAATAAGGTAGGGATAATTATTATCCCCATTTTACAGATGAGGAAACTGAGACACAGAGATATTAAATCATTGCTGAAGACCACACAGCTGCCAGTGGCAGAGCTGGGACTTGATTCTAACAACATTTGATTCCTAACCACTAAGCTTTTCTGCCTCTCTGGAGAAATTGGGTCAGGTGGTAAAAGACCTGGGTTCTCAAATTCTATCTAACTCTACCTGAGAGTTCACACCACCTGCATTCTCAGTGACAGTATTTATGCTCTCTTCTTGGAAATAATTAGTTCCAACCATTGTCAGAAATGGAAAACCATGCCTAGAAATTCTTGGAAGTGCAGCGTAATCCCAAGTTAGCCATGGGATGCCAGGGCTGGCTAGAGAGTATGTATAAAGAAGGTGGAATAACTGTCTCCCTTATACTGTTACAGGGGCACATCAGCAAGACCCCTCCCCACTGGACCCCCAACTCCTTCCAAAACACCTTTCCCAGGTATCAGAGATTTCACAATTAGAGTCAGTACTTTAACTAAAAGCTTTTTTTCCTTGTTAAAACATAGACCTTAGGGGAAAGACTGAGCCTTTGTCAGTCATCTGCATGTCAATATGAATGAGTTAACCACAGTCTTCCTTATGCTTTAGCTGTTTGGGAGTTCTTGTATTTTTGGCAAAATGCTTGACAGGGGAGGGGCTGCTGGACAACTAAAAGGGAAAAGACCCTCAAGTACCACTTGAGGGAAATAATACAGAAGGGACAGACGAAGGGCAAGCCTAACTTATTTTAGAGTTTTCATGGAGGCTAAACCTCTAGGCCAACCTTGGGGCTTTGGGAATACTGAGGTCAGAGAGGCAAGCTTCAGAGACATGCAGGGAAAACCTGAATACCACATGCTGCTCCAGGGCCTGGAAACCACCACCAGTTTCTGAAGGTTTGCAAATGAGCTATTATCAAACTGTCATCTTCCTGACATTGTGCATGCGACTGGGACACTTCCTTCCATATAGCTAATGTGTCCATAATGAAAACAAATTTTACTCCACCCAAGCAAAAACCTAATTGAAAAATAAATCTGCATCTCCTACAATCAAAACATGGACTCATAACTTGTCTCCCCACCTCTGTCCTTGCCCCAGGTAATGCAGCCAGAGTGATATATTGCATCAAATTTTACTATTATAGCTCCGCTCAAAACCTGCCAAGGCTACCTACCTCATTCAGAAACAATCCAAAGTCCTTACAATGACATATAAGCACCTACACAGTCTGCCTCTCCTGCCCTCCAACCTCACAGCCGACCAGGCTGGTTCTGCCACAGCCACACTGGCTTCTCCATGTCCCTTGAACATAGCAGGCATGTTTCCACCTCAGAGCCTCTGCGCTTGCAAAGCGTTCCTCTTTCCCGTGAGAGTTGCATGCCTGGCTTTCTCAGTCCCTTCACAGGTTTACTCTAATGTCACTTTCTCGAGGAAGCCTTCCCTGGCCACCCTATCTAAACTGCAACACCCACCACCACCACACACACCTCCTATCTCCCTTTCCCGCTTTATTTTTCTGCTTAGCACTTATCACTATCCAAGCTACTATGAATTCTATCTTCTTATTTTGTTTATGTCTCCCAGTAAAGGGTGTGCTTCATGAAGACAGGAATTTTTATGTTTTGTATACTGCTGTATCAACAGCTGTTAGAACACTTCTAACACACAGTAGGTTTTCAATAAATATTTGTTTACCATGTCAATGACCCACGACCTCATCTTCAGTAAAAAAAAAAAAAAGGAAAACAATAAATATTTCTTGAATGAATGAATAAGCTACAGATCCCAAAACAAAACTCAGAAGAACAGAGGATTATTCATAATAATTCTTCTTCCCATTGCCCTCATTGCTGACCATAGTGCCCAATTCCTATGTAAAGGGTATTCCTCCTACTTTAGGGGGCAATAGAATGAGGGGCAAAGCGGAGGGAAGGGGATGTATTTTACTGAGACTTAACATATGTCAGGAGCTTTGCACTCATTTTTCATTTTCATTCTCTACCAATTCTCAATTTTAGGTAATTCTCAATTATCTATACAGTAAATACCATTACTTGATGAGGAAAGAAACTGGCTCAGGTAAGTTAGATAATCTGCTCTAACATCTTGGCTAATGGCCAGGTTAGCAACACAGGTCTGCTGACTGCAAAGGCCCTGCTCATTCTGCTAAACCAGTGGCGATCCATTCTGGCTGTTCATCAAAACCACCTAAAAAGGGTTGGGTTCTTTTTGTTTGCTTGCTTTTAATAGAGATGCTTGGGACCTATGCCAGACTGACTGCACCAGAACATCCAGAGTGTGGCCTGACCACGGGGATGAATCTAATGGAACCCAACTTTGAGGAATCCTATAATTACACAACAAAGAAGATAAGGAAAGACTGATACCTGTTGAGTCTGGCCTCCAGGTGGCTGCTGAGATACTCAGAAGGAAAGATGGTATGTTCAAACACAGAGAAACTGTATACATGATTCATTGTCAGTGCCAGTTCTGTCAAGTTTAGGTGTAGCTTGTCCATGCTAGAAAGTAAAATGAGCCTTGATTATGGGTCTGGCACTGTCTGCTGGGATCTGAGAAGGGGTGTGTCAGACTATGACCCTCAGGACCCTTCCATCTTCTGGGGACACTCAGCCTAGAACAGTAGGTGTTGATGCTGAATTCAAAGGCAAAGTAGAAAATTCACATTTAAGCAATTTTCCATATCCATCATTCCCTACCACCATTTCCCCATTTTTCTGCTGTAACACCCTCCCTCTTCCCTTTCTTCCTTCTTTGATGCAGTGCCCATCTGCCTTCTAGGGCCCGGGTCCTCACTTGGTGACAATGCTGCGGTTCTTCCGGTGACTCTCGGCTCCTGGCTTATCCCTCTCAGGCTCTCCTTTTCTGGGAGTCTGCCTCTGCTTCATGGTTTTCTTGTTCTTGGCCTTGCTGATGGTAGTCGCACAATGCTTAGGCAGAAGCTTTAGAAACAAACACAGGTGAACAGAGAAATGGGATTTGTTGCTAAATCTGCCAAGTAGTCCATCAAACAGTTATTAAAAGGTCTCTCCACTGTTGTCTGTTCTTTTACCTTTCTGCCTCTCTCTCTCTCTCCTCCCATGCATCTCTTTCCCTAATGAGAGCCTATTTGGAATATGCTCACCTTTTTTAGTTTTCATACCTATCTCTCATGTATAGGCTCACAGTCTCAAAATGGCAGTGTCTTTCAGAGATCAGAGCATCACTCCCCCACCCACATCCTGAGAGAGCCTTTCCTAATGGAAAATTCAAGCAAAAAGAATAAGATCTAGGCTGGGCAAGATGGCTCATGCCTGTAATCTTAGTACTCTGGGAGGCTGAGGTAGGAGGATTGCATGAGCTCAGGAGTTTGAGACCAGCCTGAGCAAGAATGACAACTTGTCTCTACTAAAAATAGAAAAATTAGCCAGATGTGGTGGCATGTGCCTGTAGTTCCAGCTACTTGGGAGGCTGACGCAGGAGGATCACATGAGCCCAGGAGTTGGAGGTTGCGGTGAGCTATGATGATACTACTGCTCTCTACTCAAGGCGACAGAACAAGACTCTGTCTCAAAAAAAAAAAAAAAAAGAATAAGATCTAAGAGCTCCACTGAACTGTGCTTTCTAATATCTTCCAACCTAGGAAGCCAGTTATTATTTGCTACCTAGACCAATCATCTCACTTGCTACATTCATTCATAGTCTGTCCCATAGAACAGTTACCCACACCACCACAGCCCTCCAAAGATTCAGAGTTCACAATATGCTCATCACTTTCTTCCCACTTCTTTTTTGAAATATCGTATTTCTTTCTAGTTAGCTTAAACATCAATCTAGCATCTCTTCTCTTCACCTAGATACTCCAGGTAACCATACAAAAAATATAAGCTAGAATTATATATTCAAATATCTCCTTCAAAGTGGAATTCTCTCCATTTATTCCAGTGCTGCTGAGCATGTGCAGAGCATGCCTGGAAACTCCTCAGCTGGAATTACTCTTAAAGCAGCATAAGGGCCACACAAGAAAACTGGTTTCATTACTTTATAGTCACACCTTCTTTTTTAAAATTCAAATTCTTAACTGTTTCAAAAAAAAAAAAATCAAGTCCATTTTGATGGAAAAAGATGTATCAACCCTGAAATTATGCAAAAGTGTCTGTAGTACATCCTGAAAGCAGTCCCCCAAAAATGTAACTCCATTAGTAATTAGTAGTCACTACTTACTTACTCAAAATGTTAACTTGGGAGGTCCAATACTCATTTGCTTGCAAAAGTTTTGGTGTGTGTGAACATCATTCACATCATGTTTTAATCATCCCTGACACAGCGGTGAGTAAACCTCCTTACCAGTGTCCCTTGCATGTAATAGGTATTCATAGTAAGTGATGGATACACCTACAATTGTACTTGTTTGGATATCTTCCTTGCATTAATTATTCAAATTTCTTTCAAATATGTATTTGTATGCCCTTTTCCTTTAAACTGAGACATTCCTCCAGGGAAGGGATCGTATATCTTCCTTCTGGGTCCCCACCCCAAAAACCAAGCACAGAGCTTAATGCCCAATAAGTAGCAAATAACATAACAGCTAACATGCATTGAGTGCTGCATGCCAAATATTAAATGAACTCTATTTTATTTAATACTTGTGACACTTCTATAAAGAAAGTATCTTCATCCTCATTTTACATATAAGAAAATAAAAAAGTTAAGTAATAATGTAATTGTGCCTCTGTACACACACACAGACACACACACACACACACACACACACAGAGCCTGGCTCCACTTCTACCAAAGTTGCTACAAAGCCTAAAGTGTGGATAGTCTGGGAAATCTCAACGACTCCAGGGCAACAGCAAAACAAGTTTCTCATTTTCAAATTTTCTAAAATGTAGGTTGAGCTAATCATGAGCAGGTGCTATGAGTCAGTGAAGAGAGGGGAGGGGAAAAACAAGAAGAAAAAGACAAGAAAGCAGCCCTGAGGATAAACACACAAGAGGTGCCCCAAAATGCCCAAATAGCCACAGATTAGGATGCAGGTGAACAGAAAGATGAGACAAGACAGGTGATCTGGGGGTGACTGTCCTAAGTATATGTACACAGGGCAGAGAGAAGAGGGGAAGTAAATTAGAAAGCAAACTCATCTCTCAGAACTCTTCAAATGACAGCACATATTTTGTTGGCGTGCAGCTGTTCAAATAAGAGTATTTTTATACACCTCTATCTAATCCTAAGGGAGTAAAGACTGAAGGGACTATACTAAGAAAAGAATCCTGCCATAAGGCCAGGCGTGGTGGCATCCTAGCACTCTGGGAGGCTGAGGCGGGTGGATCGCTCAAGGTCAGGAGTTCAAAACCAGCCTGAGCAAGAGCGAGACCCCATCTCTACTATAAATAGAAAGAAATTAATTGGCCAACTAATACATATAGAAAAATTAGCTGGGCATGGTGGCGCATGCCTGTAGTCCCAGCTACTCAGAAGGATTGCTTGAGCCCAGGAGTGTGAGGTTGCTGTGAGCTAGGCTGATGCCACAGCACTCACTCTAGCCTGGGCAACAAAATGAGACTCTGTCTCAAAAAAAAAAAAAAAAGAATCCTGCCATATAAACGCAAGTACACGACGTCCCAGTCGTCCTTGAGAGAAAGAGAGAACTTGGCACTTCGATAGGGGAGCAAGAGTGGACAGAGAAGGCACTGAGAGCTGACAGAGGGGAGGCTGAAACATGGAGGGCTCAGCCTACCTGCTCACTCAGGTTTCGCTGCTCAGCACAGATCTCCAGCACACAGTTGCTGGTCTGCTTGGCCAGCTCTTCCAGGAAGGAGTTGCAGTGGTGAAGACCATGGTTCTTCAGGTGGGGGTACTATGAGAAAGAGGGACCAAGGAAGAAGTTGTCAAGCCCAGGACAGCCACTTCTTTGTCATAATACTACTCTGATCACCCCTTGCCTGAACTACCCACTCCTACAGAAGAAGAAACTGAGGCCCAGAGAGAAAGGATACATTCTACATCAAGCTACTTAGGAACTCATATCACATACCTATGTTTGCACCCTTCCTGGGACCAAAATCAACACTTGGAGTTGTGTTTTGGGGGACTAAGGAGGAGATGTGACTAGAAAGATGACATGGTTTGGAGTTCAAGATACCCACCTCCTCTGGACACATCTCATGCGTGCAGTGGACAAAATGAGCACAGATCAGGGGGAAAGCAATGGCATAACGCAGCATAGAAGGTTCCTCCAGGGTCATAGCAAACATCTTCTCAAAGGTACGGAGATGAAAGCTGCAGAGAAAAGGTTTAGGAGCTGGTCTCTTTAAGGTGGAGAGAATATTAATTCTTTCAACAAACATTTATTGATATTTACCACTCCTTCCTTGATTTCTCTACCCTTGAGGCAGAAGACAACCCAAGAAACTTAACCCTTTCAGACATTTATAATGAACCTCAGGGCAGTTTAGTGATAATCGTCTTCCCTTTCCTTACGCAAAATTTGCTATCCCTCCTCAGAATCTTTCCATGATTCGGGCCATTCCCTCTAATTTAGAAGTTGTTCAGTAATGCTAATTCACATTCCTCCCAAAACTTGACGCCCAGGCTTCAGAAAACCTTCTCAAATTAACCCTATGAGACTGATCTTTCCTTAACCCAATATCCTCTCAACTTCTTGTACTCTTTTTACACTTTCTTCTATATCCAAGTATTGTTAATATGTTGACATCTTTTTCACATTTTGAATGCTATATCTCCTCACCTGTACTGATTACAGAAAACAAAGACAACATATTTTTCACTTATTTGTTTGATCCTTTAAAGGGTAGAGTTATGCACAAGAGTGTTCAGCTATATAATAAATGTTGAGTGCTACCTAAGGAAGGCAAACTAATGTTCATTCTCCAACTCTATTTTTCAGCCCTTTAATTATTTTCAGTTCTCTCCACTACACTTCCAAGTTTTTCATGTCTCTTTTAAGTTACAATGTCCCAAGAGAAAAAAAAAGCTGAAAAAGTTCCCAAAGATAACAGTGAAGATGAGAAAAGATTGGAACTAGACATATGGATGAATTATCCTAGAGAAGGGAAGGTTGTGTAAACTCCAAGTGGCTTTCCACAAGAGAATGAATACAGAACAAAAGGGAATCAACTTCAAATTCCTATCACTTAAGATTATTGGTAGAAGCTGGCATGAGTGAGCCATGGAGTCTGAGCATCTGCCTTTAAGGAGATCTTGAAGAAAATAAGACTTTCCCATCTGTCTAGGGGAATTATAAACCTCTACAGAGGACAGCCAAGGGAGCAAATGAGTTGATAAACAGTTCTGAACCAGGACATACCAGAAAATAGACAGGTCAGAAGTTTCCACCAGCAGTTTCTCTACTGAGTCCAGCATTCGGGAGTGAAAGACAATGAGGTTCATCACCTTGGCTAAGTCAGGGTTCTCATGCAGGTGCAGTGGGGCCTTAACCACACTAGTGTATGCCTGTGGTTGGCGTTGGGAAAGGGCAGAGAAAACAAGATGAGTGAAAGGACCCCCCAGCCTCGGAATTGAAATTTGGCCTGGGTATGTCCTATCCAGTCGGCAGTTTTAAAGATTGATTCACTCCATAAAGCGTTTAAGAGATAAAAAGCTAAGGGATTGTGGGGGACAAAGAATCTGAGGGTAGGGATCATTAACAGCAACAGACCTGTAGGCGGAACCAGTCCAGCCTCAATCCTGAGAATTCAAATTTCTCTCCATTATCAACTGTAAGAAAAACAGAAGCAAGTTTTTTAAAGGAAACAATAAAACAGCACACTAATATCAACTGCATAGGTCCTCTGCAAAGATATCTTGTCCTATTCTCTGGCTCAAAGCTCAATATCTCTAGAAAAAAGATGTTCACTCTCATATATGCCCTGCCTTCTCCACCTCCCCACCGCCCCCCCATCCCCCACCCCAACCCCCACCCCCTTTACCTTGTTTGAGATTCAGAGAGGAGAGAGTGCTGACGAATGAGGACATGATGATGGATTCCTCCTCTGGACACACAGACAGATTCTAAAAGAAGAGTGGGCATAGGTTTCCCAGGATAGAAACCAGGACCACAAGGGTCAGTCAATGTATGAAGGTAGAAACATTGCTAAGTGCCAAAACAGAGAGAAAAAGCCAAGCAAGAGATGGAAGAAGCTTCCTGGGTTCTTTGCCATGTTAACACCCAGCTTCTTTTTTATTTTTCTCTCCTATTTCTATGTAGTTTCACTTAGGGAGGGAAAAAAGAGACCACTGAGATTATGAGTCTTTTTTTTTTTTCTTTTAACAATGTAGAGGGGGAAATTGGACTTTTTGACGCCCAATCTAGAGAGCATGAGATTCAGCAAGAGTGGCTCCAATAGGAAAAATAATCAGGGATTGCCCTGAAATTTCCAAACTATAATCAATTAAACATCATACCTGAATGATGTCACTAAGCACAAGAGCATCAAATCTTGCCAAGTACTGCAGGTGGTATTGCTGTATCACTTTGATGTGTCTTCGGACCAGAGCCCTAATCTCCTCCAACAAGAAAAGGAGCTCTGCGATGCTTCTATAAAGTTGAGGATGAGAACAGAGAGATGTATGAGACAAGAGATTTGAATTAAGACAAACACAGTGATAACAGGGCAGAAATTGAGACCTCCTGAGGTCATTTGATGTGCCTCTTTGTCCTCAGTTCATCCAAGGACAAGGTTCTTAGCCATGTCTTAGCCAAGTACTAACGGGTCAGCGTAGTCCTCAGGTGTCTTTGTCTTGGTGACATTTTCTGCGTGGCGAACCAGCCAGGTGACCTCATCTCGAATGAAGGACAGGGCCATGAAAGCAAAAAGAGCCTACAGAGAGGACAGGGACTATTAGAATTTTCGACTTTAAAAGTGGATTTCAAAGCACAGCGAAAACTCCCATGATAATATACACATGGGTATAATTGTGTAGCCACATCAACAGTGTCCAATAATAAACACTCACACCCACAAACAATCTCAACTATGTGACACAAAATCAGACATGTACAGATGCTGACACTGGCTCACAGTCAGTATGTCTCTTTCCCTATAGAATTAAATTTTAGAAATATTTACTGGGCATTTATGTGGTTTAAAGCAAAAAAGCAAGCTGTCTCCAATTAGTTCACACTCAAACAGAGCATAAGACAAGCACACAAATAGCTAGCTATAATATATGACATGCTATGATAGTGCCAAAAACAGAGATATGAAAAGCTTTGGGGTGCTCCAAGAATATTCAAGGAAATCAGCATATACACATTAAATAGATCACAAAAGACTCAGAAATGCAAACTCTTGTGAATGCCAAGGCACTGCCCCCATAGAGTGTCTTATCACTGGTCATTGTCCCCCTCCCACCGTTTCTTTCTCTTGCCTTGGGACCCAGCAGTCCTGGTTCATCAGTTAACACAGCCTCCAGCTCCTTCACTGCCATCCGCAGAAACTGCCGCCGTTGACAGTGGAACTGGCCACTGAGGAAGAAAAGGGAAACTAGAGAACATTGCCTCTCCCACCCTTAAAAATCCTCCACAGGCAGCACGGGAGAGAGACACACTTAGGAAGGGGTGCAAGGCGGTAGGAAAGTCCAATGCTAAAGTTAGACTTGATTAAAAATAAAAATTAAAAAAACAAGCACAAGAGTCTGTGGAACAGCAGCAAGTTCTTCAGCTGAGGCGATAAAGCTGTACAGAAACTGGAGATGGATTAGGTGAGAGAGAACAAATGTCAGGCGAGATTCCTATTCCAGCCCCTTTCAGAAAGCACATTCCCACCTTTACCTGTTTGCAATTACATGTTCCTTGCTCTCCTTTATGTCTGCCACTCGCTTGCCATACCTGAGGATTGACACAAGCACAGCAGGGTTGGCCATACCACCAGTTAGGGCCTCTGCCCACCTTCCCAGTCCTCCGAGTCCAACCTATAGCCCAGGGGGAGCATGGGCAGCCGCACTAGCAGCGTCTTTCCAAAGATCTTTCAGTTCTAGCTCATTATTTTGCAGATAAGGCAAATAAGACCTAGGGAAGGGAAATGACTTGCCAAGGTCACATAGAGCTTTAATGGCAAAGCTGGGCTAAACTTCCTGAAAGTCAAGGTACTCTTCCAGGTTTGAGCAGGGTAAGTGGAGTCATGCATAAATATAACACAGGCCCTGTTCTCAGGTAAAAGTAGTTACCCCAGCTCTACCTTGGGTCCCATTGCCGCATACTTCCTTTTAGAATGTAACTTTATCAATTATCTCTTTCTCACTTTAATCTCTCCTTCTCCATTACCTTATTCTCTTCCCCCAACAAATAAGTTCAAAGCCTCCCTTATTCTAAGAAGGCCCTAGCTTGACCCCGACAATCCACAATTCTCCCACATCACCAAAGTCCTCCAAAGAAACACCTATACTCTTTACTTCCTTACCTCTCACTGACCCTTGGCCACAAGGCCTTCCACACTAAACAAACTGATCTCTCCAAGGTCAATGTGAACTTTTGTATCAGCAATTTAAATGGTCTTTTCATTGTTTTGGGTTTGTCTGCAATAGCTGACTCTCCTGACCATATCTCCCTTTTTCTACTAGTGACCCATGCTCCAAATCCCAGCATTACCTTAGACTCTGTGCTAAGTTCCCTATAGCTGTCTTCTCTTGTCCTGTATCACTGTTACCACATTAGTGGGACTTTATAATCTCTCATTTCCCTTCTCCAAACCACTCCTTTATTGGAATTAGCACAAAATCAAAGCAATCTGGAGTTGGAAAATATCTTAATTAAATCAGGATTCAATGCCACAGCATTCCTGCTGGATAACTATTTCAACCTCTGCATAGTACAATGGAAAGAAACAGGATTAGGAGTCAAAAAAATCTAGATTTCCTAATTCCACCTCTTCTTAACTGAGTGATGCTGAAACTGAGCCTCAATTTTCTCATTTATAAAATATATATATATATATATATTTTTTTTTTTTTTTTTTTTTTTGAGACAGAGTCTCGCTTTGTTGCCTAGGCTAGAGTGAGTGCCGTGGAGTCAGCCTAGCTCACAGCAACCTCAAACTCCTGGGCTCAAGCAATCCTACTGCCTCAGCCTCCCGAGTAGCTGGGACTACAGGCATGCGCCACCATGCCCGGCTAATTTTTTCTATATATATTAGTTGGCCAATTAATTTCTTTGTATTTATAGTAGAGACAGGGTCTCGCTGTTGCTCAGGCTGGTTTCAAACTCCTGACCTCGAGCAATCCGCCCGCCTCAGCCTCCCAGAGTGCTAGGATTACAGGCGTGAGCCACCGCGCCTGGCCTAAAAAATATATATTAATACTTGTACCTGAATTATGAAGATCAAATTAGATCATTTATGTCAAAGAACCCCCTAAACTATAAATCATACATGGTAGTAGCTGTTTTTAGAGATAGGGAACTGAACACCCTCCAGACATCCCTTCCATTCCTTAGAAACATTAATCATTGGAAAGTTTTTCCAAAGCCACCTCCTGTAACTTCTAATTATGCTTCTTAAATTTATGCTCTCTTAACTCTGGCAGTGTTTTTTTTAATGATACTACCCAGTTATTGAGAATATAAAGAATCGATATTCTCACAGACTATTGATAATATAATCTGTTTAGAGGGCAATTTGGTAAGAGCTATTAAAATTTTAAATGTGCATACTCTTTACCCAACTTCTTAGAATTTACTCTATAGAAATAGTCACGTAGATTCACAAAGATATATGTCTAAGAACGTTCATTACAGCGTTGTTTGTGATGATTTTAAAAAGTGGAAACTTCAAATATCCATCTATAGAGATTTGGGTAAATAAATTATGTTATAACCACATAATGGAATATTATTCAACTATTAAAAAAATAAGTCTTTATGCACTGATATTCAAAGATATCCAAAATATAGTAAGTACAAAAAAAAGCAAACTTTAGACTATGGAGTGTAGATCCATTGCTTTTTAAACATTACTTATATAAGGTTGAAAATACATGTATACCTTTATATGTTTATATATGCAAATATACACACAAGTATATGGAGGATGTTCATCAAACTATTCAAGGAGGTGAGATTGTAGCCAACTTCCACTTTGTATTTTTTACTTTTCTGGATCTTTTATTTGCAACCAGAAAAAATAATGTATTTTGACTCTTTCCTTAATCCTACACCTCCTTCTCATTATGGCTCTCTCTATTCTTGCCTTTACATCAAACTTCTTGAAAGAATTACTTATTAAATTACTTATCTCTCATTTTCTTCTAAACCCACTGAAACCCAGCTTGCAACCTCACTGCTCAACTGAAGTTGTTCACAAGAAGAACACCAGGACTTTATAGCCACATCCAATGAACATTTTTCAATCCTCATTTTATTTTATCTCTAAACGTCATCTGATATAAATAACCAGTCCTTTCTTCTTGGAATGCTTCTTCCCTTGGCTTCTCTTTTACCTCTTCTTCTCAATATTCCTCACTGATTTCTCTGCCCCTGCCTGCCTCTTCAATATCAATGAACACAGAGGTTTGTTCCATCCTTTTCTCACTCTCTTTGAGTAAACTCATCTACTTTCATAGCTTTGATTACCAGTTCACCAGTTCTTCATCTGAATCTAGATAGCATTCCTAAATTCCAGGACCACAAAGTAAAAGGCCTAACACACATTTATCTATCTTCACTGTCCTATATATAATTCAAATTCAACCTGTTGAAAACAGAATATACAATTTTTCTCCCACAAACTTACTCTTAGTCACATGTTCTCTTATCTTTTTTTTTTTTAAGATGGGGTCTCACTCTGCCACCCACGCTAAAGAGCAGTGACTCTAATAGCTCAATGTAGCCCTGAACTCCTAGGCTCAAGCAGTCCTCCCGTCTCAGCCTCCTGAGTATCTAGCATTACAGGAGCAAGCCACCACATCAGGCTGTTCTCTTGTCTTAAAGAATGTCTGATATCCAAACCAGAAATCTTAATATCATTCTCAATTCCTCCTAATTTACTTAATTAATCCATGTCTCTACTTTTTCCCATATACTTTTTCTTCTTGCAGCCAGAGTGATCTTTTCTTTTTTTTTTTTCAGAATGATCTTTTCTAAAATGCAAATATGATTATGTCATCCTCTGTTTGAAATCATTCAAAAGTTCCCTATCCTTTTTAGGACAGATTCAAACTCCATGGCAGAGCATACAAGGCCCCAACTTACCTCTCCAAATTCATCTCTTGACATCCCCACCTTTGTAACCCAGCTGCCTATGCACTGAACTACATGAACTTCTTCGAACTTGCCATGCTCTCTCAATTCAAATATCTTGACAGTTTCTCTGCCTAGAATATCTTTCTCTGCCTTAAGCAACTGCCATGACTTTCTACCCAACACAAACACACACACACACACACACACACACTTCATCTGTTTAGCTCTTCAGATATATCTGTCTACAGGTTTTTCCAGATCCTACAAGGTCAGCTTAAGTGTCCATCTAAATGCTTCCATGGTACTCTGTGTTGACACATCATAATCCCTTACTGGGGCCAGGCAAGGTGGCTCACACCTGTAATCCTAGCTCTCTGGGAGGCTGAGGCAGGTGGATCGCTCAAGGTCAGGAGTTCAAAACCAGCCTGAGCAAGAGCGAGACCCCGTCTCTACTATAAATAGAAAGAAATTAATTGGCCAACTAAACAACTATATACAGAAAAAATTAGCCGGGCATGGTGGTGCATGCCTGTAGTCCCAACTACTCGGGAGGCTGAGGCAGGAGGATCATTTGAGCCCAGGAGTTTGAGGTTGCTGTGAGCTAGGCTGATGCCATGGCACTCTAGCCCAATCAACAAAGTGAGACTCTGTCTCAAAAAAAAAAAAAATCCCTTACTATATTCCAAGTTTGTTTATTTTCCACCAGTTTGTAAACTCCTTGAGAGCAGAAACTGTTTCTTTTTATTTAACAAGCACACAAGCACATAGCACTTACAATGTACCAGGCACTTTTCTACAGGCTTTACAAATAATAACTCTTTCATTCTTCATGACATCCCTAGGAAGTAGGTCATAGGGAAGGTACTACTATTACCCACATTTTATAGATGAGGAAATTGAGGCAATGGCCATGGAGAAGTAACTTGCCCAAGGTCACACAACTAGGAAGTGGTAGAGCTTGAATTCATACCCAAGCAAACTGGTTTCAGAGTCCATGCTCTTAACCTCTATGTTATCTTATGAATTACTGTATCCCTAAACCCAGTGACTCACCTGGCAAATACTAGGTATTCAATAATGATTTCCTCAATAGTTAGAATAAACTCTTACTACCCATACTCTGAAGCACTAATGGAGGCTGAAAAAGGACACTGGAAGGGGCTGAAAATCCCCAAAGATGAGCTTGGCTCTCATGTCTCTCACCCTTTCAAACCGCTAAACAGGTCTTCAGTGACCTTGTGCACCTGCAGCACCTCCTCCCGGACGAGGGTGATGTACAGGGAGCCCTGCAGACACAGCTTCCACAGCTTCTGGCACTGGCTGTTGGAGTTGAGGCAGCCGTGACAAAGAAGAAACCCAACTGTGGATGGGCGAAAGAGGACAGGGGCAGACTTTTAGAACTTGCTCTCCAGGTAACATGCTGCTGTCTCCGTTCCCACCTGCTGCCACTAAACTTACTTATGATCCATCGCTCCATGACTTCCACAGACAGGTATTCACAGGCCATCTGTGAGAAGAGAGAAAGAGACGGTCAGTTATTTATCACAGTCTTCCCCTAAAGGAAAAAAGTCAAGCCAGAATCTGAGTATCAAAACCAACTTTTATTTTGCCAGGCTGGATTAGGGCACTTGATAAACCAATAGCTGGGAAACCTGCCAATAATGAAGGTGAGGCACTGGAAGTGAAGTGAGAAATAAGGAATATAGTTGAGAAAAGGATAAGGAGCTTGGGCTGGAAGTTTAATATAACCTCTCTTTAACAGTTCAGATACTTTTAATAACAATAAAATGAGGAGGGCAAAACTAAAACATTCTCCCTCCTTTGGATTCTTTTACCACTTAAAGTATAAATCGTTCATTTGGCACTTATCACTAATCTGGTATCATCAGTTGTATTTTTATGACATGGTATATCTTCCCTAAGAGACTATAAGTTCTTTGAGGGAAGGACTTTGGGCCCATAGTTGTCAAACAAAAATATTTATTCATCAATTGACTCCTAAGCTCAAATTCTTACTGGGCTAAATAGGTGCATATCCTAGAAGAGAGCAAAGGATTCTTAGGGCTGGTATTTCCTGAAAGAAGCACCCTCCACAGAGATGGTCTTGGCAAAGAGAAAGCCTCCACTAACAAGAGGAAAAGGGGACTCACGGTATCTGAATTGGCAGGGTTAATCATGGCTGGGGGTGTGCTGATGAGACTTAGAAGCTGGGCACTGCGCCACTGCTCAGCCCCTTGGTTCCTTCGGACAAAGAGGAAGTGCAAAGAGAGGAGGGCTCCGCTCACAGACTGCAGGGGAAAAGCAAATAAAACTTTATTGTCAATTGAAGACAAGGTACTTCTGCCTGAGGGATTCTCCACTCTCCCGGGGAACTTGCCTTTGTGTGAGGCCCAAACTCTTCTGTCAGCTTTTTCAGAGGGTGTTCATACTCCAAGACCATCTGACCCAGACGAGCAAAACTTGGGTCACTAGAAGAAAGCAAGCAGAAGAAAGAAGAGTTACAACCCTCCCTTAACTGTGACATGAATTCTTATGTTTACATATACGACAAAGTTGTGTGCATAGACTGGCATTCCCTACTGTCTCCAAAGATATACTTACTAAACTGGGAATTACATGTACAGAAACCTCACTCCAGGCACAGGTGTGATAAACTGTGGCTAGACAGAACAATACAATTTTGGATAGGTCCATGAAAGTTTTTGCCTTACAAGCTCCCAAAATTGGGATGGACACATGACACATGATAGGTATTCTATAAATTTATGTCGATTAGTTGGAAATCAAGTAATATGCCTGGACCCAAATCTGTGTACAACCCAAAAGGGCACATAAATATTCCAAGCTAACAGATAAGGTGTGTGCCTAAGTATCCATGTAGACACATGGTAATACATAATGTGCTTAGAACGATAGGCCACAACCCACTCTGATCCCTCTGATCTTCATTTTTTTCATCCCTTAAATACTTATATCTGTACTAATGGAGGGGGACATAACTGCAGCTAATCCAAAATCCATTTGTATTTGGCTCCAAATGTATTATCATGCATTACTTACCTCTAATGGCTTTATCTTACTAACATTATTCCTACCAATACTAAAAAAAAAATTTCTTTGTCTTTTGTAATAACCTGAAAAGCAGAGTAGAAGCCAGTCCAGGATTAAAAATTTATCAGAAATAGTGCAAACTAGATAATCCACTAGTAGATATTCAAGAGTTAACTACAGGGGTCCCTTAGTATATGCAGGAGATTGGTTCCAGGACTGCCATGTATACCAAAATCCATGCATACTCAAGTCCCGCAATGAGCCCTGAGGAACCCAGATATATGAAAAGTAGGCCCTCTGTATACTCGGGTTTAGCATCCTGTGAACACTGTATTTTTGCTCTATGTTTGGTTGAAAAAATTCTGCATACAAGTGGACCTGCACAGTTCAAACCAGTGTTGTTGTTGAAGGGTCAACCATATATGTAAAAGTGTACAAAGTGTACCTTGTTTTGTTGAGGTTATCGTATAGATTATAGGTTCTTATATGAGAACTCATGGCATCTATTTCCTTTGTAACTCCCCTCACCTCATAGAACCATCTATGAGACTGTTCATATAGTATCCTTCCTTAACTCACCCATGACCATGCACCATCTCATGGGCACAGTTGTACATGCCAATGAGTAGCCGTCGATCCTCAATCCGTGACAGAAGTAAAATAACTGAGGTATAAATCACAATCAAGTCCAAGTAACTCCGAGTGAAGTCAAAGTTGAGATTCTGCAAGAAGAATACAAAGGAACTCAAGAACAGCATGGCTAATTAATTTGAATCTCCCTATTTCTCTAACCACTCCAGACAGTGCTAAATAGATTCTGAATGGGTCTAATTAGAAGTAGGAACTGACAGACCAAGTGTAGTGGCTTGCATCTGTTAATCCCAGCAATTTGGGAGTCCGAGGCAGGAGGATCTCTGGAAGCCAGGAGTTTCAAGACCAGCCTGGGCAACAGAGGTTAGAGTGAGCTATGATTGAGCCACTGCACTCCAGCCCAGGCAACAGAGCAAGACCCCATCTCAAAAAAAAAAAAAAAAAAAAGGGAGGAATTGACAGGAAAATTCAAAAGAAGAAAGTTGAAACAAAAGTCAGAGGCCGAGGTGGGAGGGTCGCTCAAGGTCAGGAGTTCGAAACCAGCCTGAGCAAGAACGAGACACCCCCCCCCCACCCTGTCTCTACTAGAAAAAAATTAATTGGCCAACTAAAAATATATAGAAAAACTTAGCCGGGCATGGTGGTGCATGCCTGTAGTCCCAGCTACTTGGGAGGCTGAGGCAGAAGGATTGCCTAAGCCTAGGAGTTTGAGGTTGCTGGGTGAGGCTAGGCCTGACACGGCCACTTCTAGCTGGGCACGATGAAGACCCCTGGGCTCAAAAATGAACAGAGGCTAATTAAAAATGACCGTGTTCAAAGCAGGACCGGAATAAGTAGCGTTTGGGAGTTGGAAGAAGGGGAGTAAGATTTTTGTGTAAATTCTACATTAATTAAATCACATTGCTGATCTGCTTAACATGTAAATATATTTTATCTTTATCTTTTTACAAGACAATTATAATCCTGAGAAGGAACACATGAAATAGCCATTCTTCCAGTCCCATCCCACCCCACACTGTCACTTGAGGGGCTTTCTTTGATTTGTGGATAAAAGAGAATTGCAAAGGATCTTACGATATCGAAATGGCACTGGCAGGCGTCAATAGTGTTGAGAAGTTCATAAACGTGATCCTGAGGGTGGAATTGAAGATGCGGGTGAATAAAGAATAAAGAGAAGGTGACATGTACCTCCAGAATTTGAGGTTCTAGAAAGCTACCAAATAACAGAAGAAAGGCGTTGTTGAAAAGAGGAAGTTCCTTCTCAGTAAGCCACTGTAAGACCTTCTCAGGCTACACTGAGATGACACTCAGGCTACACAAATGCCCATGTTTCCATAGGCACAAGTCTCTACCATATTACTAGGCACACTGTCCCTGATCTTATCATACCTGGGTGCCATCCCTCCACATAAAAAAGTTTACAACACACAGATCATCTAATAGGCGGCTTCAAAAGTGCCAAAAAGCTAACCCTTTTTTGACAAACCCCAAAGTAAATCTGTTCTTGGATGCCATCTCCTGTTCTCAGGAGTAAATCATTAACAAATGGGAATACTGGCCAGGTGCAGTGGCTCACACCTGTAATCCTAGCACTTTGGGAGGCCGAGGTGGGAGGACTGCTTGAGCTCAGGAGTTCCAGACCAGTCTGAGCAAGAGCAAGACCCCATCTCTACTATAAATAGAAGAATTAATTGGACCAACTAATATGTATAGAAAAATTAGCCAGGCATGATGGCACGTGCCTGTAGTCCCAGCTACTCAGGAGGCTGAGGCAGGAGGATCACTTGAGCCCAGGAGTTTGAGGTTGCTGTGAGTTAGGCTGATGCCACGGCACTCTGGTCTGGGCAACAGAGTGAGACTCTGTCTCAAAAAAAACAAAAAACAAAAAAACAAATGGGAATACTACCCAACTAGCCATGCGTTTCTATGTACTGACCACTCACTATATGTTAAGTACTTACTAGGTAATTTGCATGTACTTCATTTAACTCTCATTCTCTTGTGATAGGAATTCTTTTTCTTTTCATATGTAATTTTGCCTAAATAAATGTGCAGTTTTATTGTGGGCACTCCCCACCCCACTCCACATGAGCACCCACTTTCCATCCTGCCCAAACCCCAGGCAAACCAGTTTAACAACCAAATATGTCTTTTCTTATTTTTCTCCCTATTTCTATAATTCTATTAGATAGAAAAGAAGAAAAGGAAAGAGATAGACAGGTTCTTTTGGTCACCACTTGTGTTACAAAATTAAGATAATATTACACTTTTGTGTCATTTTGCTTTTCTCATTCAACCTTACTTGCTGAAAGTCCTCAAAGTCATCTGGTAGAGCACTAATGCATTCTTTTTGATAGTTGCATAATAGCCTATGGTATACCAAAATTTATTCAGACTTTCTCCCACAGATTCACTTTGTTCACAGTTCCTGGCCTTTTTACACATTGTTATTTTTGTTTCTATAAAAGTAAAATTGCTGGATCAAAGAGTATATTTTTATTTTTAAAATATGTTGCCAAAAGATTTGAAAAGACACTTCATGAGAAAAAATATGCAAATAGCAAATAAGCACACAAAAAGATTCTCAATGATGTTAGTCAGCAGGTAAATGCAAATTAAAACTACAATAAGATACCACTATATATTCACTAGAATGGCTAAAATTTAAGTCTGATAATAGCAAGTGCTAACAAGAATGTGGAGCAACTGGAACTCTAATATATTACTGGTGGGAGGATAAAATGGAACAACTTTGAAAAAAAGTTTGGAAAAGAAAGAAAAAAAAGTTTGGCAGTTTCTTATAAAATTAAACATGCTATCACCACAAGATTCGATGATTCAATTTCTAGATTATTTACCCAAATGAAATGAAAACTATGTCCCCACAAAGATTTGTGCTTGAATGTTTATAGCAACTTATGCATTAATGGCCAAAATCTAAAAACAATACAAATGTCTATCAACAGGTAAATGGATAAACAAACTGTATCCATACAATGAAAAGGTTTTAATCAGAAATGGGAACTGAATCACTGACACATGTAACAATATAAATAAATCTCAAAAACATCATGCTGAGTGAAAGAAGCCAGACACAAAAGAATACGTACTGTATAGATCCCATTTACTTGAACCTTTAGAAAAGAAAAATCTATTCTAGAAAGCAGATCAGTGGTTTCCTGAGGCTAGGAGTGAAGGCTAGGAATTGACTAAAGGGCAAAAACACACAGGGAACATTTGTTGTGATGGAAATTTCCTATACTTTGATTGTGGTGGTGTCTACACAGGCATATACATTGTCAAAACATGTTAAAATGTGTAGGAAAATTTTTTCCAATTTATCTTCCCAAAAAGGCTGTGTCTAAATTAACAGATGGGGAAACCAAGGCTAAGAGCAGTTAAGCAGCTTATCCAAGATCACAGAACTAGTCAGCAATGGTATCAGAATTTGAACCCACAGCCATGATCTTCCCTTTATGCTATATGACCTCTAGACCTCTGCCTGGGTCTATGCTGCCTCATTTGCTAGTAATGCCTTTCTATAACTCCAGCCTGCAACACAATTTCCACGGGATATAGCTAAAGTTCACTTTCAGCCACCCACACAACCAATGTCACCATATAGGTCTTATTCTCTAAAGACAAGAATCAGAAGTGAACAGAAGGGAACAGAATTAACATTTGTTGGCCTATTACTTTACTATTAATATATGCTAAACACTGAACTAGGTGTTTACCATGCATTATCTCATTTAATTCTCACAAACACTCCATACAGTAAATTTTATTTCTCCATTTTATAGATAAAGAATCTGGGATTCAAACAGTTCTTTGTCTGAAACTGTACAGCTTATCAGTGGTAAAGCCGATATGTGAAACCAAGTTTGTCTAATTCAGTGCCTACCTACTTTACAACTCACCCTACTTCAGTGTCCTTACTTCCCTTCCTGCCCTAAGCAAGCCATACCAAACACCTTAGGCTCGGAACTTCACAGCCACAGCAACCAGCAGGTATTCTAAAATCCCCTTTGGACTCCAACTTTTTTCAGTAAGAGGATTTTTTTTTTTTTTTTGAGACAGAGTCTCACTTTTGTTGCCTGGCTAGAGTGAGTGCCGTGGCGTCAGCCTAGCTCACAGCAACCTCAAACCCTGGGCTCAACGCGATCCTGCTGCCTCAGCCTCCAAGTAGCTGGGACTACAGGCATGCCCACCATGCCCAGCTAATTTTTTGTATTATATATTTTTAGTTGGTCAATTAATTTCTTTCTATTTTTAGTAGAGAGGGTCTCGCTCAGGATGGTTTCAACTCCCAACCTCGAGCAATCCGCCCGCCTCGGCCTCCAGAGTGCTAGGATTAGGCGTGAGCCACCTGCCACCGGCCATAGAGAGATTTTTATATGCCTCCAGCATTCTTTCCACTGCCTCCACTAGTGTCTATCCTCTTCCTAGCCACTACTCTCAATTCTAATATTAACACTCTTGACCTGACATTCCTCAGATCTTCAGTCCTTCATGTCCCCACTTCTCTCTTCATTGTGTGATCCAATGAATGTCCTGGATTAACTTCCCTGGCGTAGGCACAGGGCACCTAAGGCAGGGCCTGTACTCTTGTACCACCTGAAAAAATATTATAATACCAGCCCTTGGATTGCTCAGAAGCTAAAATTTGTATTATTTCTTGAATATATGAATAATACATGTTTATGGTAGAAAAATTAGAAAATACAGATAAGTTTAACTTTAATTAGTTTTGGAAAACACTAATAATCCCACCAATCAGAAATTCTAATCTTCTTTAAATGCACATTTAACTATGTAAATATCCATTTTAGGGACATCTTATATCTTAAAGTGTATTATAATTTGCTTTTACATTCATTAAACACATATGGAAAACATTTTTCCATGCCAATTAATATAATGTGTTACCATCTTTAACAGCTGCAGAATATTCATTTATGCACACATATTCTGAACTTTCAACCAAACAGCTATTTATTGGATATATCATTATGAAGTTGTAACTGTCAAAATAATGCAACAGAATACATTCTTGCACACATATCTTTGCACTTCTGATTGTTTCCTTAAAACAAATTTTTAGAAATAGAATTACTACATTAATTTTTAAGACTTTAGAAATACATTATCAATTTGTTTTTTAAAAACATTGCGTTAAATAATTTTTAATTTTTGTGTTTACAAAAATAGTATGCGCTCATTGTTTAAAATTTAAATAAAACATCACCCATGTAGTATTGCTACTAAAAGCTGTTAACAATAAGACAAATCTCAATGTGGACTATGTTATCAAATTTAAAAAAAAAAAAAGGAAAAAAAAAACAAAACAATAAGACAAATCCAAATTGAAGGATATCCTAAAAAAACAACTAGCCTGTCACATTGTATTTATGATATCAAAAAAGAAAAAAAAAGAAAAATGGAAAAACAACTAGCCTGGACTCTTCAAAATGTCAGTGCCATGAAAGATAAAGGCTAGGAATTATTATTAATTAGATTAAAGACTAAGGAGACAAAAGTAAATCCAATGTGTGATTCTTAAGACAATTGGAGAAATATGAATATAAGCTATGTATTACCCAGTAATATTATAGCAATGTTATATTTCCTGAGTGGGATAATTGTATCAGGATTGGGTAAGAAAATATTCTTGTTCTTAGCAAATGTATGCTTAAATATTTTTGGAAGGAAATGTCATGATTTCTGCAACTAACTCAAATGGTTCAGAAGAAAAAACAGTTATAAGTAAATGTGGCAAAATACTGACAATTAGGAGACCCAGGAAAATTGCAAAACAATATTCATTGTACTACTCTTGGAATTTTTCAGTAAGTTTGTAATAAAATATCAGGGAAAAATACTTGAAATTTTTAAAACTTAAATAATGCAAAGATGTATGGCTTATATAAATTGATCATCCCTAACCCCAAAATCCAAAATCCAAAATCTGAAACTTTTTGAGTGCCAGTGTAACACTCAAAGGATGTGCTGATTGGAGCATTTCAGATTTAGAATTTTTGGATGAGATATATGCAGCCATATAACACAAATATTCCAAAATCCGAAAACATATGAAATCCAAAATACTTCTGGTCCCAAGAATTTTGAATAAGGAATATTCAACCTGTATGGAGAACTCCTAAAACTCAACAATAAAAAGCAACCCAATTTCAAAATAGACAAAGGATGTGAAATAGACATTTCTACAAAAAAGATAGACAAATAGCCAATAAGATATACAAATGGCTGATAAGCATATGAGAAACAAATGCTCAACATCACTAATCATTAGCAAAATGCAAATCAAAACTACAATGAGATAACACCTCACACCCATTAGGATTGCTACTATCAAAAAAACTAGAAAATAACAATTGTTGGTGAGGATGTGGAGGAAGTATAGCCCCTGGGTGCTGTTGGTGGGAATGTAAAATGGTACAGTATGGAAAACAGTATGGCAGTTCCTCAAAAAGTTAAAAATAGAATTATGTGATCCAGCAATTCCAATTCCACTTCTGGGTGTACACCCAAAAGAACTGAAAGTAGGATCTCAAAAATATATTTCTGGCTGGGTGCGGTGGCTCACGCCTGTAATCCAAGCACTCTGGGAGGCCGAGGCGGGCGGATTGCTCGAGGTCAGGAGTTCGAAACCAGCCTGAGCAAGAGTGAGACCCTATCTCTACTATAAATAGAAAGAAATTAATTGGCCAACTAATATAGAAGAAATTAGCCGGGCATGGTGGTGCATGCCTCTAGTCCTAGGTACTCGGGAGGCTGAGGCAGCAGGATTGCTTGAGCCCAGGAGTTTGAGGTTGCTGTGAGCTAGGCTGACGCCACGGCACTCACTCTAGCCTGGGCAACAAAGCGAGATTCTGTCTAAAAAAAAAAATATATATATATATATATAATTTCTTTACTCATGTTCATAGCAGCATCATTCACAATAGCTAAAATGTGAAAGCAACCAAAGGGTCCATCAACATATGAATGGATAAGCAAGATGTAGTATATCCATACAATGAAATACTATTCAGCCTTATAAAGGAAAGAAATTCTACAATATGATACAACATGGATGAACCTTGAAAACATTATGCTAAGTGAAATAAGCTAGTCATAAAAAGGCAAATATTATTCTACTTACATGAGGTACTTAGAGTAGTCAAAATCATAGAAACAGAAAGTAGAATGGTGTTTGCCAGGGGCTGGAGGAAGGGGTAAATGGGAGTTATTGTTTAAAGAGTAGAGTTTCAGTTTCACAAGATGAAAAGATGATTGCACATTATGGATTTATTTAGTACCACTGAACTGTACTCTTAAAAATGGTTAAGATAGGTTTTATTTTATTTATTTGTGTATTTTAGCACAATTTTTTAAATTAGGGGAAAAAAAGGATAGCTTAGTAAATTGAAGCCAAGCATAATCCATCTCTAAAGATAGTTATTTTTAACAGTTTAATGTATAATACTCCAAATATTTCTTACATATATACTAACACTATGTATATACAAGCTTATATATCCTTTAAAATAAAAATATGATGTGACATAAGCTATTTTGCAATTTGCTTTCATTTAACAATACAACTTAGATATCCTTCCATATCAGTACATCTCATTTTTTTCAAGAATCTATATTAAGCAACACATATGAACATCTACTAAAGAAGGGATAGCCTCTGAAAGACCATGCCTACGTTAGGGACCTAGGATAGAGAGAGCTCACCCGAAATTCCATGACATCCACAAATGACTGGTAGTAGTTAGTGAGAAATCTAATTATTTCAGTTTTTTCACGATGTACTGGCCCTAAATGTTGCTGAAAGAAATACAAGACAAAATTAAAAATGCAAAATAGAAGACAATTAATCAAAGTAATTCAAAAAGAAAAGAGGTTATAGGTAAAATATTCTTAAAGAGGGTTGAAATGCACCGACAGTAGTTGGAAACTCTCTGATGCTCTACAGGTCTTTAAACAGAGGATATTCTCTATCTAGGCCGGATGGCTGTGTGAGAGGAAATTTCAAGGATCCTTTTAGCCGAAGAGGTTTACTATTAATAAAATTTAAATAAAAATGTCAAAAAAAGCAGAATGAGAAGATGCTATAGGTAAGATGGGTGGGAAATCTAGGGCCAATATCTAATAAGGAAGAAGTGATATCCCACTAGATGCATAATTCTAAGACATGTAGCAAGGAAACACTGAGTGTGAAACAGGAACAACAATAAAATATATACACCCTGCTGGGTTGAGAGAGCTGACTTCCTGTACAAACAATGTGTTCTTACGAATCTTGCAGTGGAGAAAACAGGCAATGCTTTGCTCCAGTTTACCCTGGAAGAATCCCATCTTATCTCAAAATTCTCAAGACCTAAAGCTCTGCAACAACCTGAAGCTCTGTGGTTGCTCCATTCCCTGCCAAGTTTGAAGAGAGACAGTCAAAAGAAAAGAATCCCAGCCATCCCGGCAGAGAATTACTTCAGAGACAGGCAAAGAGGAGGACGGAGTTCTCACCGTGCTGTTTCGGACATCTATGTTGGGAAATTTCTTGTTGATGTACTTCAAAGATGACTCCATGGACTTTTCCAGTAAGAAAGGTGGCTTGGATTTGGGGTCTGCACAAGTCTGCACGGATAAACCACACTGTATTTCAACTGTTCCTCCTGCCCCTCAGAAACATACCTCTTCCCTGCATCATTCAACCTCGAAGCTCTCTTAGGAAAAGGCACTCTGGGAATTAGTTATAAAAGCATGAGCGTAGGTCGGGAATAAATTCCAGGACACTGAGCCAACTATCAGAGAGCTAAATAACAACCTGAGCATTTTGTCCCACTGGGTAAAGCTTAATGTCTGCTTGGCCTCAGCACAAAGAGGAAGCTGTTTCTCCACCCCTCAACTGCAGCCTGAAGGAGTGAGAAAAGCAACTGCTCGGGAGTTAGACTTTGTGCAAGACTCAGTGTCACAATTTGGTCCACTACATGAGTACCTTATCCCAAAGGGCATTTATAGGAGTCATGGAGACAGAGAAACCGTGTTCTGGGTGATTTATTTTAAAGTTCCCTCCCCCAAGTCCCCTACCTTCCCTTCCAGGAAAACGTCTTTACGTCTTTACTTCCTATGGCTTGCCAGCCCCCGGCCCACCTCTCGCCACCAGCTTCTACCAATTGCACAGTTCCTCTTCTGAACACACAGATACACACAGCATAAATTGCCCCAGACTAAGTCCCTCAGAAGACAACTACCCTTTTGTATCTAAATTTCTATATATTTTTTTCCTTTTAGAGAAGTACTTCTCCAAAGTGGAAAAGTTTTCGCCAGAGACCCAACTTCAGATCTCCTCAGAGTATGGGAGATCAACAATAAATAATAAAACCCAGAATTCTAGACACCAGAGCTTTATCCAAATCACTAAGAGCACAATTATTCCCCCGACACTCCTACCCCTGCCCCAAGCCCCAGCGGAAAGCAGATGCTCTCATCGGGGTGAGAATCATACCTAGAAAGGGGAAGCCCTGAAAAGGAGCTCCCTTTCTGCCTCCCGGAACCAGCTGGCCTACATAATTGCAGTGACCGAAGGCCTGTTGGAGCAGTGGGAAAGAGGATGGGGTCTAACTGCTGGACCTACCCGCCTCAGGGTTCCCTATCTGCCTCAGGGTTCCCTGGCCCCCTCAGGGTTCCCTCCCCTGCTGTTGCTAGAATAATTAATACTGGTTCCCCTTGCCCATGCTTACCTTCTTGATGTTATACATGCGGATGAGAACCCCCTGACCCCGATCATTCAGGATAGTGAGCTTCTCTGCAAATTTATGCTGATAAGCAGATGTCAAAGACATGATGGTCACTGAGAGAGAGGAGCATCCAGACAGCAATGACTGATCTCCCAAACACTTTCAGCCCAGGTGGTGACACCCTGTGGGTGGAGGGACTCAGCCTGGTTGGTGCGCTGGTCTTCCGTTGCCTCTGCCATTGGCTTGTGGGTGAAATCAGTCATTATGGTTCACAAGCCCTCAGAGCCTTCTTGCGCTTCCTCTTGCACACTCAGCAGGGGAGACTTCCTCTTTCCGTACAGCACTTTTAGCATGGCTGTGACGTGGGTGGAGGCTGGGGAGAGGGATATAGGCTTTCAAGGCCTCTCCACAGACTGGCACTGACCGTTTTGGTCTCATGCCTCCACAAGTGTCCTATACAAAGCCCTGTGCCAGACAAACAAGAATCTGCCCCTACCCCCATACATCTCTATACTTTCCCTCTTTTCATCCTCCCATCAAGAATGCCTATATTATTCTCTACCGAACCTTATACCTCATCATCTTTTAGGACCCAAATCAAATCCCATCTCTTCCTAACTACCCCATCCAATGTCAAGTATTGTACTACACTGTGTATTGTCAAATATATTATTTTATTCCTTGATATATTAAATGTATGTCTTATCTCTCCCAACTACATCATATGCTCCTTAATGAGAGGAATTATATCTAATACTTCTTTATATCCCTCACCATGCTCTAGCTGACAGACGTCCTCAAACTACGGCCTGTGGGCCACATGTAGGTGTTTTTGCTCATTTGTTTTTTTACTTCAAAATAAGATATGTGCAGTGTGCATAGGAATTTGTTCATAGTTTTTTGTTTGTTTGTTTAGGAGGTTTCTTGATTTTATTTTATTTATTTTTTTATTTAGCATATTATGAGGTTACAAGTGTTGAGGTTACATATATTGCCCTTGCCTCCCCTCTCCCCTCGAGTAAGAGCTTCAAGCGTGTCCATCCCCTAAATGTTGCACATCTTACTCGTTTGGTTGTATATACCCATCTCCTCCTCCCCCCTCCCACCCTCCCCACACCTGATAAATGTTACTCCTTTATGTTCACTAAGGTGTTGATCCTTTAATACCAATTTGCTGGTGAGTACATGTGGTGCTGGTTTTTCCATTCTTGAGATACTTCACTTAGTAGAATGTGTTCCAGCTCTATCCAGGAAAATATAAGAGGTGCTATATCACCATTGTTTCTTAAAGCTGAGTAGTACTCCATGGTATACATATACCACATTGTATTAATCATGAATTGATGGGCACTTGGGTTGTTTCCACAGCTTTGCACTTGTGAATTGTGCTACTATAAACATTCGAGTGCAAGTGTCTTTTTGTTAATAGTTTTTTAAAACTATAGTCCAGCCCTCCAACCGTCTGAGGGACAGTGAACTGGCCCCCTGTTTAAAAAGTTCGAGGACCCCTGCTCTAGCACAGTGATTCTTGAAGTGTGATCCAGCACCATCAGCATCACCTGGAAGCTTGTTAGAGATGCAAATTATCAGGACCCACCCCATACCACTGAATCCAAAACTCTGGGGTGGATCCCAGCACTCTGTGGTTTAAAAAGCCCTCCTCGTGAATCCAACGCACACTTGAGTTTGAGAACCACTACTCTAGTACAATGGTATTTAGAGGTGCTTAAGAACCCAAGATCAATCCGTGTCCTGAGAGTTCAGGATTGGAAGGTCTGTGGTGGGGCCTAGAAGTCTGCATTCATAAGCACCCTGAGAGGTTTTGGTGCAAATGTCCATTTTGAGAAACACTGATCTAGAACAACATCTCTTAAACATAGTAGCTACTCAGTAAGTATGCCAATTTATTTGTTGAATTATTAAGACCAAGATAGGAAATGGGCCCCATGAAGAATGAAATGAATTGATTAATAAGAGGAAATTAATTATAGCTCTTAAATCTTAGAGGATTGAATGAATTTTAGCATTAAAATATTCTTGCCATTCCAACCAGGACTTGATCCCCTAACTCAGGAAAAATTTCACTCATCTCAAGTTTCTTTCAAGACACAAAGCAAAAAGTCCTAGGAAAGATTCTAAATCAGAAAGAATTGGCCAGGCGTGGTGGCTCACACCTGTAATCTTAGCACTCTGGGAGGCCGAGGCGGGCGGATTGCTCAAGGTCGGGAATTCGAAACCAGCCTGAGCAAGAGCGAGACTCCATCTCTACTAAAAATAGAAAGAAATTAATTGACCAACTAAAAATATATATACAAAAAAAAAAAAAATTAGCCAGGCATGGTGGCACATGCCTGTCGTCCTAGCTACTCAGGAGGCTGAGGCAGTAGGATCGCTTGAGCCCAGAAGATTGAGGTTGCTGTGAGCTAGGCTGACGCCACGGCACTCACTCTAGCCTGGGCAACAAAGTGAGACTCTGTCTCAAAAAAAAAAAAAAAGAAAGAATTATTTTCATTTCCACCTCCTTTCCAATGCCTTTCCTGCAGTTTTCAATCATTTCCATTTTCCATATCCAGAGCTCTCATGATCCTAATAAATTCTATGGGGGTGAGTGAGGGGAGAGAGGCAGGGCTGATCAGCATCACTATTTAAGGAACTTAACATGTTTGCTCCCAAAACAATGTATTTTTTTTTAAGAAACAGCTAGATGGCAACACCTAACACATGAAATTTCAAACATCTTTAAGAAAGACTTTGCATTTTTAGAAAACAGAACTTGCCTTCAATTTTATTTACTGGACTGTGTCCTTAGAAAGCTGTGGTCCTGAAATAATGTGATGTTGGCCCTAACGATTTTGGTAATTCTTTTTGGTTTGGGGTTTTTTTGGTTTTTGGTTTGTTTTTTTGTTTTGTTTTGTTTTGTTTGGGGGATAGGTCTCACTCTGTCACTCAGGCTGGAGTGCAATGGCATCATCATAGTCTACTGCAACCTCAAACTCCTGGGCTCAAGCAATCCTCCTGTCTCAACCTTTTGAGTAACTGGAACTATAGTGCACAACACTACAATTGGCTAATTCTTCCATTTTTTCGTAGAGACAGGAGTCTCACTCTGTTGTTTAGGCTGGTCTTGAACTCCTGGCCTCAAGTGATCCTCCTGCCTTAGCCTCTCAGAGTGCTAGGATTACAGGTATGTGCTCCCATGCCAGACCAGCCCTAAAGATTTGAATCACCTGCTGTTATTGAAGAAACCCAAGTTCTAGCAAAGAGATCTGTGAGATTTCTAATGGTCTTTTACCTTGATGGGGGAGAATTTAGAGCAGGCAGTAAGAGGCCAACATTTAGGAAGCTGAGCAGCAGCATAGCACCAGCCTTTTTAGGGTTAGTATAGTTCTATTAACTCTTTCTCACTTTCATTTCTTACCCTTATCCTGAAAATTTTGTTGAAGACCCTTTGTACCAAGCCAGTATTGTTTTCTACTGTCCCTTAATATGTACTCCCCAACCCAGTAGGAACCATCTCCTAGCCTACTGTGAATGTGCTACATCATTTCTGCCTCTCTGACTTCACTTCTGTATGCTTTCCTCTCGCTGACCCAAATCCTACTCAGTCTTCAGGATCTAACTCAATAGTCCCACGTCCAGCCCTTGCTGAACTACTATAGCACTTGGTCTATCACATACTTTACATCCAAGTCGTGTTCCACCTTTAATTTTCCACCTTAAATTATACTGTCTTCCCAGATGAACCAAAAGATTGCTAGAGCCTGGAAACACTTATTCTCCTGTACTTGGTATGTGGGGAAAGCCTACACAATTAGGCTCCAATGTAGTTGAGTACAGTTGGCTAAGCCTTATGACTTAGTTACTAAGAGCCCAGGTTCTAGGGCCACATATCTTGAGTTTGCATCTCAACTCTCACTTATCAGCTCTAACCCAGTTTCTCTGTCTTTAAAATGAAGGTGATATTGGTAATAATTCCTATATAGGGCTATTGTATTTAAAAAGTGATAACATAATTGTTTACTACGTACCAGCTACTTTAAATGTTTTAACTGTACTACCTCAAATAATATTAATCATGCTATTCAAACACTTGCTTTGGGCCGGGCACGGTGGCTCACGCCTGTAATCCTAGCACTCTGGGAGGCCAAGGCGGGCGCATTGTTCAAGATCAGGAGTTCGAAACCAGCCTGAGCAAGAGCGGACCCCCGTCTCTACTATAAATAGAAACAAATTAATTAGCCAACTAATATATGTAGAAAAAATTAGCCAGGCATGGTGGTGCATGCCTGTAGTCCCAGCTACTCGGGAGGCTGAGGCAGGAGGATCGCTTGAGCCCAGGAGTTTGAGGTTGCTGTGAGCTAGGCTGACGCCACAGCACTCACTCTAGCCTGGGCAACAGAGTGAGACTCTGTCTCAAAAAAAAAAAAAACTTGCTTTGTAACTTTAGGCTATTACCACTAAGTGGGTTTCCTAATCTATAAAATGGTAGTAATCCTTCATACAACTGTGGAAGTGATTATATGATACAGCATATGTAAACATTTGGCTCAAGACCTAGTACTGTGGATTGGGAATGCCAACAATAAAGTAAAATTTTTGAATATGTAGTGAGCTTCTTATGTCACTTTCTGTGGAATTCTATTTGGCACCCCATAAAGAAAAAAGTTAGTTTAAAAATGGAACTAATCATGTTAACTGGTAGTCTTAGAGGAGCAGCAGCTCTCCTATAAACTGGAGGAGCCCTTCTAAAGGTATCTTTTATCTTATCCCCAAAGCAGGGCCTCATAACCCTCACTGCAAATCAGAATCCCCTGTGGAACTCTTTTAAAGTCACAGTTAGCCAGGCCCCATTCTTGAAGATTCTGATCCAATAGTTCTGGAGTGGGTCCAAAGGATCTGTTACTTTAAAACTACTCAGTGATTCTTATGCACAACCAAGATTGAGAACCACTTCTCCAAGACTTAACTGTGACATCAAAAACCTCCAAGCCTCTGAGAAATCACAGAGCATATGGTGGGAGGAAATAAATTGAGTAGCTTGAACAGAAAGTTGATTCACATCACTTGACTAAAAAGTATTGTGCTTTCCCTCTCCTCAAACTTCAGCTATTTGCCTTGTTTTGCCTTGCCCAAGGAGTGTTTTCCTCTTCAAGTGACACTTCCTTTCAGATTCTCGAGAGACATTGCTTCAAGAATAAGGTAGGGGCCAGGCATGGTGGCTCACGCCTGT